GCAAATTGTTTATCAGTTCTGCACAAATTGACCAATTAAATTTACGCTGACTGAAATTTACAAGCACGCAAAAACATTGTCGCGCAAACTGGTACCGTGAGTGCTGTAAATACACACAAATGTTTTTTAACGGATGAATACAACTAATAATAGAGAGAGAAACTTAAGGAGGATCATAATAACAAGAGTTTTTTATTTTATTTTATTCATTTTATTATATAAAGGGGGTTCCAAGCCGAATACAAACAAAAGGGGTAAAAAAAGGCGCTATTTCCATGTCAATGCAGACTTGCAAAAAAAAAAAAAAAAAAAAAAAAAAAAAAAAAAAAAAAAAAAAAGGTTCATAAGGGGTCAGAGAAAAAAGTTTTTCCTTCTTTCTTTTTCTTTATCTCCTTCATATTCTTACACTTCTTTTATATATTATGAAAAGATTATCAACTGCCTCTACACCCAAGAGTCATCACCATCATCATCATCACCATAGCCACCATAACTCTATCTCGTCAACCACTACGTCGTATAGTACTGGTGAACGCTTGTTCCCATTACATCGATCAGTGACTGATGATAAATCCTACTCCAATAACAGCTCGTTATCACCCATCACAAGATTTGTCTGCAAGTTATTAGGTAACGACGATTGGGAAAAATGTTACGAAGATTATAATTAACTAATATGGGCATAAATAATATATATAGGTTTAGCCGGGCCTTCAGCAAGACCTCGTCTTTGGCACAAGTCAAAATCCACCACTTCCATCACTAAAAGTTCAGTCATATCATCATACCAACCAACTAGTAATTCATCAGTAATTACTTCAGAAACCACAACCGTTAGAAAACCAACCACCATTACTATCGTTACGCCTATTGCACCTGGTACATTATCTCCATCTATGATGGAATGGGGTCGGGATAGTCTACCCAATGCTTTCCATAACGATCCGGAGGATGATGCAAGTTCGGTATCCTCTACAACTTCTACAACGAGTATAGTCTCAACTATAAATAGCTCTATTTCTTCTTCTGTAAATAATTCAGCAGCTGTTGATGCATTAGTAATTGCTAGTTTGATACCAACAAAGGCTAAAACAACAAATTTAGAATTTGATGATATGCCAAGCATAATTTTAGGAAACCGTAAACAGGAATCAGAAGTTGTACTGACAGAAGAAATCGCAGAACTGGTAATACAAGGGGTTTTCCGTGTGTGCGTGTGTAATCCAGTTTTCCTAATTAGAGTTTTTTTTTTTTCATATAGGTACGTCCTTACCTCCCAAGAAGATATCGTATTGCCCAAAAATGGAACTTGCTGTATAGTTTGGATCAACATGGTGCTAGTCTTTTTACTTTATACTCTTTGATGAGAGACTATGATGGGCCATGTATGATGATTATTAAAGATGCAGATGGACAGGTAAAAAAAAGTGACTCGATTGTTTTGTCTATCTAAAACTCCCACGACTTTTCAAGGGAACTACATTGTAACTAACCCTCATCGCGATTGTTTTTAGGTTTTTGGCTCTTACTTGAGTAACCCGCTGTCTTCCCAAAGCCACTATTACGGAACCGGTGAATGGTAAGATAGAAAATGAAAATATATACAGTTTATGCTAAAAAAAAAACAAATTTAATGTATGCAGCTTCTTATGGAAATCATCTTGTGCTTCTCCTAAAATTAAAACCTATCCTTGGACAGGAAAGAATGATTACATGATTCTGTCAGATTCTGACTATATAGCCATTGGCGGAGGGTAATATAATACTTGTTTATTTTAATGGACAGACTTACTAAATATATATGCGCATTTTAGTGATGGAAAATTCGGGCTTTGGTTGAATTCCGAATTAGAAAAAGGTTACAGCACTACATGCCCCACTTTTGACAATGAATGTCTCACATTTAAACCGGAATTCGAGTGTATGGAAATGGAGATTTGGGGATTCTCCTTGTAATTTTTTTCCTAGCTTTTGTAAATAATCCACCCATAGCATTATTCCAAAAAAAAAACAAAAAACTATTTATTACTATCTATTCCCCCCTCCCTTTCCCCCTTCTACTCCACCGTGACTCAACAAAGTCTCGTGGCTTTATTGATTTTTGCACACTCAGAAAAACTTATACAGCGATTCGCGTTTAAAATCAGGTTTTTTTATTATGAATAATCAAGAATTTCTTATGTATTGCTATTTTATCTTTTATAAAATGATTCAAATCTTTTAAACTATTAATGATCCGATCAAAAGCAGAAAAAAAAAGAAAAAGAAGGAGCTCTTAAAATATTCAAATGGTCCTTTGTAAAGGGAGAACTAGTTTATTTATGGTATACTATATGGCATATAATGCTCTCGGTTTCAGTTTAATCATAGATAAACATATCTTTTGAAGATTTATTGTTCAACATTTATGGGTATAATTTAAAAATCTGGAACCAGGCGAATGCTCATTCATTTATTACCTGGCAAAGAAATATATTACTGTTTTTTTTTGTATGACTGAACCTTTCGAACAATTTAACAAGGTATATTCAAAAGTTTAAACAATACGCGTCTGCAGCTGAAGAAGACTTGTCGTTAATTCTACGAGAAACTGTAGTTTTGCTTGCTGGAATATAAGTACAAAAGTGCTAAAGGTTTGTCAGTATAAGAGACGTGTCTACACTGTAGAAGTCAGATTCAACTAGGAAACTTTCAGTTGCGCTATTACTTTGATACAAGCGGCTTTTTTAAATACTTACAAAACGTGATTTTCTTCATTTGAAAACTATGTTAAAGTATACAAGTTCGACTTGAATATAAACAACTTACGACAGCTGTTATTAGGATTTGGAAATATTTAAAGTTGAAATACAAACCATTGCCAGCGTCATTATGTTCCATTTAAAAAATGGCATCTTTATGCTTGCCGCTTTTTTTCAATTTGTGATTTTCCTGAGATCAAAGACAATCAGGTATCTACTACAACATCTAAACTTGATAATATCATATACGACTATGTTGGTACTGCGTAACATGCTTCCTAATATGTATCAGCTCTCTCTCTCTCTCGCCAGGTATTGTCCAAAACTTCCTCGCAATCTCAACAAAATACTTGATAAAAGCAATTGAAATATCCACATTTAATCAAGCGTTAGAAATGACATCAAATAATACCACGAAAAGGATTCGCTTTTATTTCTCAAATGCGACTATAGAAATTGAGACTAAGTAGCAAGCTCCAGTGTATCCACCATTTATTATTAAGTGAACGAGAAAATCAAGAATTCTCTATTATTTCGAAGCATACCGAAAACCTGTGTCAATTATAATTTTCATCAATTTGTCATGATTCTTATTATCAATCATTTTAATTGTTTCAAATTAAGACGACCTCGTCTTTCACATGTTGTAATAATTTTATTAACAAGAAATTAAAAATAATAGGAGGTGAGGATAAGAGGACTTATCACCCCTTACAGAGGTTTTAGTTGCTATAGAAGAGATAGAAGATTATGATACATTACGGTTGCATTTGATTATGCCACTTGGTCCAGATGTGTAAATGTTTCCATCATCCATTACTTGTATTTGAGTTACGCCAAACGCCTTTAACTAATTTATCATTTTTTTTTTTTTTTTTTTTTTTGTTCAGTTTACGTGAAACAAAAATGTAATTACAAGACACATATCAAAACTTACAGGAATTCGGTTAAATGACGGGGCAAGGAATCGATTTCTTGGTTGTATATCAAATGACTGGCGAAGCTTATATGTGCTTACATCCCAAATCTAAAATGTAAAAACAACAAAATATAAATATAGATACATCATCACTTGCTGATCATTATTCATTTTACTTTTAGTTCTCCGTCAATAGATCCAGTAATCAATGCCTTGTTTTCTGTATCAATTGCTATAGATCTAATTCTTGATTGATGTGCGGTAAATGTATGCATCGTAGTACGTTGTCTGAGATCAGAAACAACTGTATAATAAAAAAGGGGAATTGTATGGTTAGTAATTTATAAAAAAAGAGCTTTTTTTGTTGTATATTTGTTTTACCAATCTCCCCTCTTTTTCCACCCGAAAATAGCAATTGACTATTTGGTTCATACGTAATAGCATATGCGCCTCCATCATGACCAGGTAATGCTATCGTCATAAAAAAAGTATTATTATTTCTGTGCGTCATTATTTTTATAAATATAAATAAAAGACTTACAACACACCAATGCCTTTGAAGGAGGTAGCAATGTGTCCCACAAACTAACATGATCCCGTCTAAAATAATAGTGTCAACTACATAAATGACAAATAATAATGCATATCTTACTTCCTACTCATAGCGAGAGATGTACCCGCTGTAGCAATCAAACTGCTTGAGTTGATAAATGTGAAATCTCTTGTTGCTTTTGAATGACAACTCATCGTCTATAAACAAATAAACATTCACTTTCGTCATAAAATCCTGTCGTGAAAAAAAAAATATCTTAAAAAAAAAACTTACATAGTATGGCTTATTAGAATGTGCATGCGCATCAAACCTCCATAAACACAAGTTTCCAGACGTATCACCCGCACCAAACTTTTGTCCAAATTGATCAAAATGAATTCTAGAACATTTGAGGGAGGGGGGGTTAATATATTGTTTTCGACACTTGGGGTTTTTCAAACTAAACATTTACCTTGTCGTCTTTCCGTGACATCCGTAATAACTTGCAATTTCTCTTTCTTGTCCAAACTGCCATAACGTGGCACTTGGTCCACCATTACTCACTTGACATCCCGTAATATCTAAATAATAAAATAAACAATGAACACCTTTGTATTTATTGTGCGGCACATATTACTCACAAAACGGATATTGCGGGTGTGTTTCAGAACATGTTGCAGATATGTTCCTTCTGAATGAAATCTATTTTTGCTCTTTTAATAAAAGCTCCTTTGTCTCTACTATTTCTGTTTCGGTTATTTACCATCTTTTCTCGCTCCGAATTCTCCATAGCAGAAGGACTAGCGATGACTGGTGTTCTTGCATAATCAGATCCTTTGGAAGCTGATCTTTTTAAGGTATCATGAAGGTAATCCAGGTTTAAGTTATGCTGGTGTGATTTTTGAGTATGATCGTCATTTATTTTACTGCCTGCTGGCGATATTAAGGGTGTAGAATGACCGGAGACTTGCGATGATGCCGTACGAGCCAAGTTTCTACGCGGCTGTTGTTGTTGTTGTTGCTTCATTGTAGTGTTGGTTCGGATAGAATCATGTTCATCTGTTGAATCTGATTCGTCTTCTTCTGTGTCTGGATAACTCTCAATATGATGATCATGACCCAGGCCAGATGAGGATACAGACCTCGATCTGTATAAAGGCTATAAGGGATTAAAATTTGTTTTTGATTTGAAAGTTGTCTTTCTTTGTTTACTTACTGCACCAAAATTTTCTGTTTTTGACAAATCAATTTCTTGGATTTCAGATTTTAAGCAAACGGCCATTGAGTCACGAGCAGCCTAAAAGGAAACAATATATAAACATTGCATTCATTTGCATGTCAAATCATACTTACAGGATTTAAGCAGAATGCATACACCGTACTTGAGGAATGGTATACGTTGCGGAATTGATTGTACTGTTCACCCTCTAATATGTTCACAGAGGGCTTTTTATATTGATTTTTTTTAAACAGTATTAGTAAAGTTTTTTCAAATATTATTAATTATGCTACTTACAGATTGTAAAAATGGTATTAATCGCTCTGGCGCACTTAGGCTTTTAATTGAACGCCAATATTTCTTTTGCCTTAAAGTTCTAAATTGTTTAGATATGTTTTCTAAAACAAATCTTATTGGTGAGTGGGATGCATAATGCTTTAAAACCTTACAACTTACGACGAGACAGATCATTATCTAGCTGTTCTGCGATAGTTTCTTTTAATTTGTATGCTCTATATGCAATGGGATCCAGTAACGTGGTCCATATAAAATCAGTCAATTGCTCTAAAAAAGAAGGAGGGTAAGTTTCAGCAAATGTCTAAACATGTATTTTTTTTTCTTACCACATAGATTGCCTTGTTTGCCTTGGCATTGCATTGCATATTCAATTGCAGATAGTACATAATTTAAAGATGCTGCCTCTAAAATATTTGCACCGGCTGATTTATCATGAGAATCCAATAGAGGTCTATACACCTCCTCGTTCATGTCAAAACCAAACATGCTTCCATCGGAAAAGCTTTCAAAATCATCCGTAGACATTTCGATCTATTAAAAGTAATTTTTTGTAAGTCTACAGATTGGGTGAACATAACATAAAACAGAACAATTACCATTTTTGTTTCGTTTTTCAAGATTTGAGATAAACAATTTTGAACTGCAGTATCACTACCGTTTGATCCAAGCGCTTCCAAGAAAAACTTAAAATGACGTAATAAGGGCCAACAGCTTTCGTACTGACGTTCTTTGAGAGTAATTAAAATCAAACTGATATACGTCGTAAGAGCAATTTGTTTGGTAGTCAATGCAGCAGTTTCCGGATTACAATATTTTAAACGTAGTTCGTTCCAAATAGAAAAGGTCTTTATGACATGCCTATACTAAAAAGTTAATATTTTTTTTTCGTAATCCTTTTGGGATGATGTACTTTACTCGGTCCAATTTTCAACAAAGACTAACGTAGAATAATCAAACTCTTGAGGCATCAATGCAACCTCGTTGACTTCAAAGCATCCGACTTTGAAGGCCCGTAAAAATTGATGTACATCAAAGTCTCTAGGCACGTCTTCATTCAAAATATACAAATACAGTGGGAAAACATCAGTTTCGATACTTTTTTCCATTAACAATCTAGAGAATACAGATGGCATAATCTTGACTGATTCTCCTAAATCCAGTAGCGCTTCACGATTACGTACAAAATGGGATCGATACCGAATTTCATGCATTTTATCTGTCGTCTCCATACCATTGTAAAGTGCAGATGCTGCATGAAAGAAAGTTTGGAGCATACGAATTACCAGTAAAGCCTTGTATCCATCCAGTCCATCATAACCGCGGTCAGACAAACTGATCTCACTTTCTCCGTCTTCGGTTTCCCTGTTGTCTTTTTGTTCATTCTCGTCATCAAATAGTCCCCCTGAAGACTTTTTGGGTGCAAACAAGTCATCCTCATCATCAAATAACCCGCCAGATGACTTTTTGGGTGCAAACAAATCATCCTCATCGTCATCAAATAATCCACCGGATGGCTTCTTGGGCGCAAATAGATCATCATCCCCAAACAAATCGTTTGAATAAGAGAGCTTTTTAGGTGATGTGTCTGCAAAAAGATCTGTCGCATAAGAAGGCTTCTGAGGTGTTGAATCTGAAAACAGGTCTGTCGTTGCAGGGGAAGGTATAGAAGTAGACAAATCTTGCTTCACAGGGGGTTTCATATAATATTTTGTAAGTATATACAATGCAAGTAAAGGTAAACCCAGACGCTCGTAAGAACGTGAAACCAACAGTGAAAATCCATACTCAATTTCGTAAGGTACTACCAGATGTTGTTCTTGATTGAGTTTCTTTTTCAGATAATGGAATAAAATAAATGCATTGGGATTATGTACAGTTTCTGCTGAATCCATTTCAGTGGTATCGATGTTTTTATCGGTGAACTGAGAGAGGGGAACCACAATTGCTCGCATGGCATCTTTTTGCTTGTTTAATAACCAAAATGCGATACTTGCGAGCCATCTATCATTGGTTTCGATTGCCATAGGCATGATGCTGTTTTCCAAAATATCTTTTAATAAAGGACTATCATCACCATCATAAACTCTGCAGACGGCAATCGCTAGTTGATAATCCTTAATATTTTTTAAGATTACATTGACAGCATCCTTGAGCTTATCTGCCAGTAAAAAGAAAGCTGCCGCGTATTCTAAAAAGAGAGAACTGGAGGGTTAAATATTGTTGTTTTAGTTGAATTTAAAGCATGCTTATCGTAGACAAAAACAAAAGTGTATATTTTTCTTACCAAATCTTTGTCTACCAAGCAAAGCAAATGCGTTTTTTGAAGCAGCTCTTTGCCAACGGGGATCACTGAAGTCGTTTGCTAAAAATTTCTTCATGGCAGTTTGTTCCTTATGGCCACTAGCGGTTTTCCATAGGCCTAGGAGTAAATTCTTTTTACGTAAGGCTAAATAGAATAGCGTACAGTCCACTGGATCACGATTTTCCATCTTTGATAAATAGATATTTCTGGCAATATTGGCCATTTGATCTCTCTAAAGAAAATAATAATAACACATCAGTACATTGATACCACCCCACCGCGCAACTAAAACTTACCACAACATCAATTTTTTGAAGCCATAAAAATATACCTAAAGATTTGGCATCTTCCCAAACAAATCGCTTTTCGCATAATCTAACACATCGCTCTAGCAACAAGTCTTGCGATTGACTATGCAAAGCCCAAATAAAATCCTGGGATTTGAGTTCAGCTTGTCGTTGATCTTCCGCAAGTGCTTTGTTCAGATGGAAGTGGTTTTCCAATAACGCAGTAAACCTAGCTCCATTTTCATCCAACGATTCTCCTTGATTTGTAATCTTAAAGCACGCACATGCATTTAGTACAGTATATTAGAGTATTTTTGGGTTGCATCAGTTTACCTCAACAATGGTATCCACCATAGCGACCAAATGAATACGTTCAGTTTCATTAAGACCGGGTAAAATTTTGGTCTTAAGACTGTGGGCAAGATTTTTGGCCTCATTGGCAGTGATATGACGAATAATGTCATCATCTTCATTGGTAGATCTTTAAAGAAAATTGTCAAAATAAGGTGAGCTTTTTTATCTCTCCTGGGATTGGTCACTTACGAATCACTATCAGAATCATCTCCATCAAATAACCCATTAGATTGCATTTTCTTTCTGGCAATTTCCTAAAAAAAAAAAAAAAAAGTTTAATCCAAGGGTGTTTATGTATTGATCCTATAACTTACATTTTGTAACTTGAGCATTTTTGGAAAAGAAACAGGTGGGAATTCATTAATAATATTATCGTCATCATCCACAAATTGTTTAAAGAAATTGTTGAGCGAGACTAAAGCATAATGCACTAGATCCATTTTGCCCCACATAACATAATGGATAATGTGGTCCGGATGATAAAACGGCAATGGCCCATTCATTTCATATGAAATATCAAAAATACTCGACATCGGCTCAATTTTAGCATTTTCAGGCAATTGGATCTCTAAAAAAAAAAAACTATGTTAGGGTCATTGTTTAACCCACAAATATATGAGTGGTCTTACGTTTAGCGACAGAGTCCTTTTGCGTCAACCATTTGAGATAACATCTCAATTGATTACCAGCAGCTACTGTCAATACACCACAATCTACCCATGCTAATGCTGTAATGTCTTCGGGACTAGGATGTTTTTAGATATGTACTTATATATGTATAAATGTTTTCTGTACAAGAACTTACGTATCAACCTTAAACTCTGTATAACAAGTCCAAATATCATCATCATTGCTAGCCTGTTTTGCCCTCTTCTGGCCGAAAATAGCAACACTCTTTGGAAAAGCAACGGCCAAAATAAATTGTGCATCGGAAGTAACGTTCCACGCCATATCACAGATTCGTTCACCAAACGTGAGTGTTTTGACACATACGGGTGCAATACCGGATCTCATTTCCATCCAAAACGACAATGTTTTACTATCTTTACCGGACACAATTGACACGATACTCGGACCACATCTGATTTGCTGAATCTCTGTCAATTGAGATGCATCCAAGGTGTACATGGGTTCCCATTCGATTATCTCTTCATCCATATTCACATTATAAAATACAATATTATAACCTAACGACACCGTCAATACCAATTTCTTTTCAAACGCCAAACGGTGGAACAGTTTCGATGCTGTATTCGTCGCCCATTGACTGGCAGAAACCACCACGTCTGGATCTACCCAGTTGAGCATGTGTTTAGTACCACGATGTGTTATTTCAAATTGACTGGATATAAACCAAGTGCTGATGGATTTCTCGATATTGGAAACACCGATCAACAGGTATGACTTATCACCTGTTTCGGGGTCTTCCATATTGTAAACTTGTAACGAGGATAAAGAAAGACCCTCACTATTTTCACATACTTTGCTTACATGAACATGGCAATCTTGAACATTATCAAATTGGTAAATTTTCAACTGCACACCATCATACACTGCTAAATATTTATCTATTTTATATAAGCAAACAAGAAGCATTAGTAAATCTAAGCATGATATCTGGCATACTTTTTTTTTTCATGTACCCTTATCTACAGGAACAGCAAGTATTTGTTTCGACTCTACAAATAATGAACAATCCAATTGCAATTGTGTAGTCATTTTTCCACATGTCTGAATACAAAGGTTATGTTAAACATTTTTTGTTTGTGGGGATCAAAAGTCTCATTTTACCTCACGGAGTTCATATTTCCAAACATTGATTTGTCCATCAATTCCTATTGTGCAGAATCTGTTTTTCTGTGACTGATACAATTTGGAGATCGAATGTTGATGGCCAAGCCAAGTATATTTCAAATGCAATCTAGGTGAAAAGGGGGTCGAGTCTAAAAAGTCCACGATATTCAGACTGTAACATCTCACTTGCCCATGGTTATTTCTTGTCACTAGGGATAGCTCGATAGGTTTGATGGTTGCTGCGTATTTTTAGTAATATGTCAGAATCCATAAATTCATACAGACATATACATGTGACTTACATGACGATTGAATATGAGCGTAATCATGCAGAATATGTATCGGATTTAAAAAATAAATAACGTCCAAAGGATCCACAGCTTTATCCACACGTAATACAACAAAGACTCTAGGAATACGTCGAGGAAAACTATTCAAATGCTTAAAGATAAAAATTTAAGTGACCCGCATCCAATTAAAACCCATTTTTTTTTTTTAATCTGGTACCTGAACTCCCCAAAATGTCAAGGAACCATCTGTCTCGATGCGGAATAATAAATCGGGCGTATCTTTGACTCGTTCACAAATTCGTTCTAATCTCATATCGAATCGTTCGTGTTTTGAATGGGATTTGAACTGAGCATGTACAGCATTGTGTAGTTCATCACAGCCGATATAATGAATTGGCGAGAAATCCTGGTTGGGTTCATGGTTTGCTTCTTCGTTGGGATTACTTGTGACAAGCGATTGGTTGGAATCGATTACAGCACACATGTAAAGTATCTGAGATTGTTCCAGTGGACTCCAAAAACGACCAATACCATCACGAGCCATGGTAAATAAAGTGCAATCGTTCTCTTTGGCTTGAGGCAAATTTCTCCAGACAAAATGTGTGACATGTTTTGGGTGCGAGATAAAAGTAAAATCGTAATCTTCCTCATGTTGATACCAAATCGTCACTATACGATCAAACTTTTATATCGACAGTTAGAAATGTTAGAATCAAAAAAAAAAAGTCGTACGATATTCACTTACTTTGCTCATCGTTGCAAATCGATTTGATTTTGGCTCGAATTTAGCAAGTAATACATCGCTGGGTGGTTTCTTTGTACATAATTGTTGCCAATCTATATCATATTTCCATACTGTAATTTCTTTTCCTGCACTCAATAATAAATCTATTGTTTATCCTTTTTTTTTTAGTTTGTGTGTTTTCCGTTGTTGTATAAAATAAACTCACTATGGACACTCCAATCCAAACAAGTAATGACATCTGTTGTATCAAGCACAGTATCTAATTCCCATCGATTTTCCGGTCCCTCGCACGGTTTCAAAATAGCTATTTGAGAATGAAAAGACAAAGCAATCTTTTTGTTTTTTTTTTTACAATTTTTTTAATGTTTTTCTACAAGTGTTTCAGAAGGTTGCTTACTTGTCCAGTATTGTTATTGCCTGACACAGCAGTTACAGGCTCGAGACTATCTTGCGGGTGAAATAAACTTGACGCTGCAATAATCTGTACGAGCGTATCTGGGTCAGCATAAACCACTACTTTTGACCCTGTTGCATAAACCTATACATAGAACAGAAAAAGGGTTTCAATGAACACGGAACATGACGTTGAATGTTACAACAAATTTACAATAAACCGTTCATTCCGGTAAACAAAAGTATGTAGCGCTTGCGAATAAGAGTTAGCTTGTCCGGGACAAATCTGTTCCAAAAACATGCTGTCTCTAGATGGTCAAGATGAGTTAAAAAAAAAGAAAAAATAAAAAGTGTTTTTTTATGTATATATGACTGTGACGCGCAACACACCTATTCATGCCGACCTTGCTTTTTGCTTCGTTTCAACCAATTGTAGGGCAGTCACCCCCCAAAAAAATAATGATGGCTCATTCAAATTAAACCAGCTTATGCTTTTTACACCTTACCTGCTGTCATGATGTATATTATGTAAGGGTTTTTTATTGGTATAACGGTAGAATTTTCAGGAACGTCCATCATTGATCATGTTAATTATTATTTATGCGGTATGCACAAGGATACATGTTTATTCGCATGTGTGGTCTCGGAAAGGGAGGGAAAACACTATCACCAATGTTAATGAATACAATTATATGTTAGAATAGATGTTTTCCGTTGCTGTATCTATTTGACACACACGTAATGATATATTTTATTGAGCAGACTATGACATATAATATCAATTTTATTATTATTTATGATAAACAAAATTTCATTTCATTGTGTCAGTGCCAGAGTATCTTTCTTCATGGGACAGACCATTGCGTCGCCTCACTTTTGGATGATGCACACACGTGTGTGTGTTTAAGGTATCCCTTGCTTATTAATGAGAATGAAATTTGTCCAATAATGTTTTATAGATTATCTTTAAATATATTGCGAATATCCTTCAAATAAAAAAGCGTGTCCGGGGGAGAACCTGATTTTTTTTTTTTTCATTTTTCTTTCCACACTACAAACATGTCAGTCATTACTCAAGGTATTCGTGATTTGGTCAAGAAGGCCATTTCTGACAACACCGTCATGGCAAGTTTTTTCATTTTCTTCTGAGAACCCATATATCGGTTTTTAACAAAAGGCCTTAAAAAAAAGATCTTTAGCAAGTCTTACTGTCCTTATTGTATTGGCGCCAAAGACTTATTCGATGATATCCACGTGGATTACAAGGCTTTAGAACTAAACGATCATGTGGATGGCGATGCCATTCAAAAGGCATTGGCTGAAATGACAAAACAAAACACTGTACCCAATATCTTTGTGAACCAACAACATATTGGAGGTTCCGATGCATTAAAGTCAGCTTTAGCTTCAGGCAAGCTTGAAAAGATTTTAAAGGAAGCAGGCATCAAAGCTAAACTTTAAAGATTGTACACACAAAAATTTATTATTATTAAAGGGGGCGTAAAAAATATAATAAATCTCTCTCTCTTTTTTTTTCTTCTCATTTTCTATTACAATGACTGAAAAAACAGGATTTTTTGGCAGTGGGTTCTTTAGTAATGTTACTTCAAGTGTGAATGCACTTTCACAGACTATTCAAACCAAAGGTATTCCCGAGATGAACAAACGGTTTACTGAATTACAGCAAAAGGCTCGAGAATTACCTGGTCAAATTGCTCTTTTACAAGGCGATTTAGAATCCGAGCATCAATTGTTCCTCCAAAAGAACAAGAATGTTGAAATGGGTGCTCATCGTCCTTCAGCCAAAGGCGCAGGTAAAAAAAAAAAAAAAGGGACTATCCACTTATTTGATTATTGTCCACGTCAACTTAATTTAATAAATAGAGCCCGTTGCTCCCTGGGTTGGATACAATGAATACGAAAAGGAAATGAAGCAGGCAATTATGGATATCTCCAAGGTAACCCTTTTTTTTGTTTTCGCATTATGTTAGAGTTTATTTATAGACACGGCCTAGTAAATAATTATTAGGATGAGCGTAATTTCTTACTTTCCCCGCCAGAAGATACCAGCTTTCAATTTGATTTAAACGCTTATAGTCAAAGTGCTCAAGCTGCTTTAAAAGAAGATACCAAATTATCTCACATGCGATTTTTACTTGTGCCACAACAGTAAGTTATTATCCCGCAGTCTTTTCGATAAGTGGCTAAAAAAAAAAGATAATATAGAGTTCAGGAGCCTACATTTTGGAGAAACTACTTTTACAGAGTCACGATTGTCAAGCAAACAGTGCTGAGCAATCCTCCTCCTGCTGTTGTCGATATGGATGATGAGGTATCCAAAAAGACCGAGACTGTTTTGTTTGATTTCAAGGATGATGATCAAAGTGAAGAGGAGGATGTTCCAGGCACATTTGATTATACGAGCGAAGAAGAAGACGAGGACGAAAAATTAAAGAAACCTGCGGTCGTGGTAGAAAAGAAGGCTCCCTCTGTGGTAGCTATGGCAACCGAAAAGGAAGAAAATTACGAAGGCATGGAGGACTGGGAAATTGAATTGAGAAGAGCAGCAATTTAAATTTAATTAATTATTACTGTATTCTCGACTAAAATATGATTCAGCTACTGAAACAGCAGCATTGACCAACATGTTTAAATCACCGTGCACTTGCTTTTGGCTAAGTAAGTGTACAACCTACATTTTAAAAAAAAATTGAGCATGGAGGAGAATAGAGAAAAGGGGAGAGGGGGGTTGCATAGTATTTAAATGTACCTCATTTTGTACATGTTCAGTTAATGCCCGTCTTGATTTTTCATCCGCAATAATTGGTCCATCTTTTTTAATTTGTTGAACGAAATCTCGCATTCCCTAAATAAAAGCTATTAATTAAAAAAAAAAAAAAAAAAAAAAAAAAAAAGATGGACATAAATTAAATATCTACCTTGAATGCTGCCGCACCCGCCAATTGTTCCACTGTCACGGTGGTTCCTGATTCCAAATAAACCATTCTGTAGCAGTCATACAGTTCTTCCTGTCGAGGAAAAGCCGAGGTACGTTGAACTAGAGTTGTATTAAGTATAAGTTATTGATGCTTAAAGAATAAGAGAAGGTACATACGGGGAGATGGACGAAGTAGAGCTAATTCGGCATTGGACTTCTCGTTTTGGAAGGGTTGAATAATCCATTGTTGTGTTTGAGAATGAATATTCTTTGAATTTAAGAAAACAGTGTTGCCATTCTTATAATCGCCACCACGAATATCTAAAACTAGATGAGGAGCAGAAGTAGAAGAGATATATCCATCACGGTAGGACCATCGTTGATTGTGTGCCAATCCAGGTTTACGCGCATATTGAATAATAACCTTTTCACGTTCAATTGTTCCGCCTCGGATATCAAGAACTACAACAGTATTTAATTGTCATTATTCTCTTACTAATTCTTCCGCTCTCTTTTTTATTGTACCAAGTCCTGATTTTTTATTAATCAAAAATCCCTCTTCATGCATCCACAACTACAAAGAATTGATCAGCACATTTTTAGTTGTCATGCATATAATTTTCTTTTTACCTGATTAATACTATCAATCATTTTCTACTTTCCCAAGTTTCAGTCAGCATCACACATCTTTTTTTTATTTTTGCTCGGATACTTACTTGTGGCCAGATAATAATAGTAGCGTCGTTCTATTTATGAGAGAGTCAGTGTCTGCTCTTTGACGTGAAAAAAAAAAGTTTATTTACAAGCATGCTACCGTTGTTAACGTCCATTGCAAACGGTTGGTGTTTGCATCGTATAAAGAAGAAACCGTCGGGAAAATCTTGCACAGCTTCCATGAGTGAGTCGGTTAAAAGAGTGGAAAAAAGGGAGTTTTTTTTTGTGTGTGTGTGTGTGTGATTTAAGCGGCGATGAAGGGGGTCGAGATTGCCGTGCTTTATTTATTTTATACGTCACGCTCTAGCTTAACTAGTTCAGGTAACGTAGGACATGCCACTTTCTAAAAATGTGGGAAGGAGGGTGAAATTTTGTTTCCCCTATTATGATAAGTATTTAATTTTTTTTTTTTTATCTTTTTTATTTTTCTTTTTTTTTCTCTCCCCTTCAAATGTACATATAAGAAAGAAATAGAGATAAAAAATTTTAAAAAAAAAATGACATTTTCTAGTTTTATACCACGTTCGAAAAAATTTCTTGCCGTGCCATGTTTAATTGGTTGCGTTACTATATTCATGTTGATATCTTTATTACAACGCTATAATTATGTGCCTAAACTAAGTAAGAAAGAGCTATAAATAATGAATCGTTTAAATTAATAATTTATAAAAATAGCAGCAGACTTGGAAACAACATACAAGAAACAATCAGAGAGTTATCCTTATACGATCGTCACAGGATCAAGCGCCAACCATCTATGTTCTCTCGAAAACTTTTTATATTCCTTAAACGACTTGCGTGCGAATATCCCACCCAAAGATTTCCCCAGAGTGGTGGTTTACAATATCGGAATGAACCGAACTCAGTTACCCATCCTTAATCAGTTGCAGCAAAACGGTTTCATCAATGATGTAATCACCTTTGATCATGAGCGATATCCAAGATTTTGGGATGTAGCCATCAACTCCGGTCAATACGGTTGGAAAACAGGCATCATCAACGATGCTCGTATCAAATACGGTGGGGTGCTCATTTGGCTTGATGCTGGTAACCAAGTAACAGAAGACTTCATCTTAAATATTCATCATACCGTCAAAAGTGAACCTTTTCACGGCTTTTGGTCCCCCAAGAGTGCCTATGGTATGGGCAAATGGACCCACCCGGGCATGTTTAAATACTTTGGGGCCGATCCTAAAGAATACAGATACAAACCCAATTGTAACGGTGCCGCACTTGGCTTTGATACAACAAACAATACCATTGTCGACTCGCTTATCTTGCCTTGGTTCGAATGTGCCTTAACTAAAAACTGTATTGCACCTCCAGGTTCCAGTAGAGAAAATCATCGTCAGGATCAGGCTGCTCTGACCTATCTTGTCTATCTCAACGGTCATGAATGTAGAATACCACCCAGAGACTTTTATAAATTACAGATCCATCGTGACATTACATGTAAAGTCAACCTAGTAGAATTAGAGATCCTGGGCAACCTGCATCATCCTTCATCCATTGGTAAACGCACATTAGTTTTATATATATATTAAAAACTAACTGATTTAAACATAGATTCACCCAAGTGGGAACGTAATGACACTGTAGCATTATACAATCATCCGGAGTGGAAATACGAAGAGGACAAGGTGCCTGTAAATATACGAAGACCTTCCACACCCTTATTATTATAATAAAATAAAAAAAAAATTTATTCTGGTTTGGCACATTTACGTAATTCGATGGTTTTTGTCTTTGGACATTGCATTTCTTGCCAAGAGATAGGCACCATGGTGGCACCACCAGCAACACTCGTAGCAAAAATCACACCCAATTCATTTTTAGCTGTTGATAAGAAATAAGATCGTGCATCACCTAATGAAATCACTTCGGCTTTCACGATATCTCCAGGTCTAAATGAGTTGTAAATCTTGACTTTATCCTTTTCTGCTGCACGCACATCTTGTGTCCTAAGTGATTTTTTTTTTTTTTTTGTTACAAGCAGGAATTAATTCAAGTCCCCTTTTTCCCTTTATTGCAGTAACTTACCTAATAACACCCATAAAATCTTCTTTACAAGGCACATCGCCAACAACCATAATGGCAATCACTGCTTGATGTGGTGCCACTCGAATTACTTTACCCGTAATCTAAGAAAAGAAAATAAGTGTTCCGATAAAAGGGCGCGCATGCTCTGACAAAGTCTTTACCACACTTCCAACTTCTGGTACTGCTGATTGTTCTTTATCTCTTGAAACTCGAATAGTAGGTAACTAAATAAATATTAAGTGAATGAGTATTACCATGGACATGCAATTCGAGATCTTTTTTTTTTACTTGTTCGTTTTTGGAAGGGTCAATGTATCGTTGACCAACAACACTGGCATAGAGTAATCCATCGCGTTCATATGTACCAGGTCCGCCGGTATAATCGGCAGCATAACCAAGACGTTGACCGGGTGTGACTGACTCTGCTTTCTTTGACATGTTTTTTATATAAGGGAATAACGCATTTTGTATTTTTTTTGCTTCAAAAGAGTTTTGCTTAAAAAAAAAAGTGCAAGTGACTGCTCTTACTTAGTTTTTGGGGGGTGACCCTCCCCCCATAGTTATCATGGATACTTAAACTGTCTATAAAAAAAAAAAAGAAAAAAAAATTGAAAAAGTCACGGTTTATCAAGTATCACAACTGCAAAAACTTATTGTTTACATGGACTTTCCAACAATAGAGTTAGTGTCCCTGTTATTTTTTTTTTTTTTATTATTGTGAGCGGGAACTCCGCTATTTGATAAACCTTTTTTTTTTTTGGGTTGTGTGCATCTATAAATATTGATAATTTTATTGTTCTCTTTCTTTTTTCTTTTTTTTTTTTTCCATCTCGAGCATTGAAACGAAATGGCACCTAGACAAAGAACAATTTCTACCAGTTCTAATAACTCTTCTGTGAGCACGCTTTCAGGCAAAATTGTGTCCCCTAGGACCCCACCCAGGACTCCACCCATTTCCGAAAACGTTCAAGTCACAGTCCGTTGTCGACCTCCTAAGAAGGATGAATTAAACAACTGTTGGGATCTAAATGAACCTAATAAAATCACTTCAATTGATCCTAAATTAAAAAAACAACATCAATTCAACTTCGGTAAAAAGATATTATTTATGCATGATTTTTTTTTTTTTTTTTTTTTTTTTTTTACGCTAAACTTTGTATAATTAGATAATGTGTTTTATGGAAGTGATAATGCTTCATTGTATTCCAAAAGTGTAGAGAAATTGATAAAGTAGCTCTCATATTTATTTGTTTTTTGTCACATAAAAATTGTACGATTATTAAAACTAGTACTTTTCTGTAGTCAAGCAATGGAAGGATATAATGGTACATCAAACATCATGTGCACATACGAATATATAGTCATTTATCCTTTATTTTAGCAACTGTGTTTGCCTATGGTCAGACAGCCAGTGGAAAAACATTTGTAAGTACATTATACGCTTTTTTTTTTTGGGCTTAAAATACATATATATATATTTCGTGTAACTTAACTCTCTTTAGACAATGGTAAGAAAGGGGCACATTTACACTACCCATTCTTCTCACAAAAATGAAAGAATAACTCTTTTTTTTTTATATACATACATAAAAAAAAAATATTATTATCATTATCGTTGGAATCGATCTTCTAGATGGGTATTATTTGTATATTTACATGCTCGTATGCGCAATATTTACGTCCTTTTTTTTTAGGTACTGAAACAGAACCTGGCGTGATACCCCGTTCCGTCGAAAACGTCTTTGCGTTTATTAAAAAGGCAAGTCTAAACTTCTGTTTGAGAGGCCCTTATTTTTTTAGAGAAAAGTCTAACCCTTCTGCATTAGGCCATCACGAGAGAATTCTTATTACGAGTTTCGTATATAGAAATCTATAATGAAACCATACGAGATCTGTTAAATCCATCCAATGACAATTTCAGAATATCCAAAGATTCTGTGCGAGGTGTCTATGTCTCTCCTCTAACCGAAGAAGTTGTAACTTGTCCGCAAGATGTCATGAAAATGATACAACGCGGGGAAGCAAATCGTCATATCAGCTCCACTGATTATAATTTACACAGTAGTCGAAGTCATACCATCTTTCAGATGATTATCGAAAGTCGTGAAAGAAACAGTACAAGTACAGCAACCATTCATCATCGTCGAACCCTAACACAATCCGGTTATGGCACCAAATCCAAGGAAACCGTCAAAATATCCCAACTCAACCTCATAGATCTGGCTGGTTCGGAAAAGGCAGCTACCAACGAAGAGAGAAGAAAGGAAGGTGCATTTATCAATAAATCGCTCTTAACGTTGGGGACCGTCATTTCCAAATTAACTGAAGCATCCAATCGGTCTCATCATGGACCGAAACCACATATCCCCTATCGTGATTCCAAATTAACGCGTATTTTAGAGACCGCTCTTAGTGGCATGGCCAAGGTGGCTGTCTTATGTACCATGAGCCCATCTCTACAAGCATTAGAAGAATCCGTCAATACCTTAAAATTTGCTACACGTGTAAAGAAAATCACGATTCATGCCAAGAATGATGAAGTGATGGATGATAAAGCTCTGATCCAGAAATACCGTGTTGAAATCGAACAATTAAAATCCAAATTAAAGGAACAGGAATTAAACAGTCTTGCCGTATCTGAAAGAAGAGATCACGAACAAAAGATCAAACAAATGTTAAATGTGCGTGACACCCTAAAAGAACGTATTGACCAATTGACAAAGCTCATCCTCACCTCGGCTTCTGTTGTGATCCAACAAAAGAACGAGGACGATGAATTAATTATTACGGAAGCCCATACTGACAATGAGATCAAAAATGGTAAAAATGATGATATCAAGAATGCCGTCATTTATCAGCTGGAACAAAAGGTCAAGAAATTAGTCGCCGAATCACACGAAAAGGATGACCGCATCAAATATCTCGAGCAACAATTACGCGTTCAAGCTGCTGTCTCCTCTCGCTTGGAAACAGAATTAAGTATTACAAAGGCTGAGCTGGGCGTTAGTCAACTTACACCGGCTTTTGAAAAAAAGAGTTATTTAGGCTCGCCGCCTCAAGAAAGAGCTGAACGTTTATTTTAAACCATGTACACTTTTTAGACGAAATAAATTTTTAATTCGAACGATGTTTACCTTTTTTTTTTTTTCTGAAGTTAAAAATGCTAAACCAGAACTAACATTAGACCATGCGTCCTTAATAATACGATTATTAAAAATCTTCGCTCCTTTTTGCCACGAACGTATTTAAAGAGATGTCGGTGATAGATCAATATCCTTTCGTTCACAACTTAAAAAAAAAATGTTCATCTTCCGAAAGATTGGTAATAAAAAAAAAATTGAGTTTATCACTTAAGTGTATCTATGGTTGACCTGCGATAACAGGCCTGGAAAATTCTAGTTACGACTTTGACGAATATTTCTAATGTTTGCTTGATTATTTTGAGTCCTTGCTCTTCTCCGTTGGTCCTGGGGAGCCCATCCACATCAAAATCTTGGGGGAGAATGTCGGTCCCAGCACGAAGTGAACGAACAATATCAACCATGTTCAGACAAGCAACCATATCACGATTACATAGAAGAAGAACAATTCTGTTTGTGTTACTATTTATGGCTCTACAATTTTGATTTGTATATCTGTCATAGGAACAAACAAAAAATTATTAGATAAAAAAGTGATTGACAAGTGAAATCAACATACCTTTAGAGACCATGTCTAATTACACGAGGATTTGCTCTTCGTCTATGAGGGCGCGGGTTATCAACCATCCGAAACTTTTCAAGACTTCTACATTCACAGGCTGGATAGCACTGACTTGTTCTTAATTCATCAATCAAGTACACCCTTTTACCAGCTTTTTAAAGCAACCGATTGATACCAAGGCCCCCGATCGGCTCATGAAATCTTGTATTAGGAGCAGACCAGTTACCCATGACATAAACAGCTTCGACACCAAACTGTTCATCTAGATGTGCCCATATTAATTCCAGATGTACCTGACGTACCAGACAAGGATCTATCAGAACCCTTGTTGGTAAAAAGAGGCAGTTATTTCTAGTACTGGGTTTCCAATAGATTTTGGGAGATGTTTTCGGGACAAAATTAATAATTTTTGGGAATGCACATATCTAAATGCATAGTACGAGCCATTATTCAAGATATTGTTAAACAATACAATGCTTTCAGTTACAGACTCGTTACAAGAATGTAATGATGACATAATATCTTGTCTTTGTACTGGCATTGTTGTAATATGTGAACACCTGAAGCTTTCAAGGTCCTTGTCCGGAGCACAAAGTTGGATTTATTCTTTTATAGTTATGTATTCGGTAGGTATTCTTTAATCAAATGAATTTTTGCTTGAATGTTCTCAATTCAAAAAGAAATGAAATAATTGTATGCTGATTTATACACAGACTTATTTTTTTTTTCCTGGTGAGTTATTTGTGCTGTCAGTAAAATTTTCATCAGGTGAGCGGGTGTCGTCAGCATCATTTACATAGACCATAATATTATCCAAGCTTGATTCAATCCAGCCCTTTATACACAACATATTTTTAAAGAATAATGGTAAACGCAATCGGAACAACGTAGGGGAGGTGGGGGTATCCAAACTGCAATTCTTCTTTAAATACATAAAGTTTTGGACAAAACATTTGAAGGCTATATGTTTTGCATGGAGAACAAAATTAAAGTAAACCAAAAGTGATACTGTTAAGACTTGAAAACCACTTTATTATGGACGAAAAAAATAAATTAATTAAAAAGCGTATTGACGGTCTATGAGAAAAAACTATGGATATTTATATAAAGAACTGGGATAGTTATAGGGAGATTATTAAGCGCCTTATTGGATCATGATGTAATAATCTGGTGATAGTAAATAATCAACATGTCTTTAAATTTAGCCCTTCCATACTGAGTATATAAATATTAGTCAGAGGGATCAACAGTTATAACATCAAATGACAAGAGTAATATTTGTGCTCAGGATCTATGAATATTCCATAGTCCAGGCCCATTCGATTGTAATGCTTTTTGCAGAATAAATATTTACTTGCCACAGGGTTGTGCCCTGTGTACAGACTTCAACGGTAGGAAGAGAACAAGCGGGGTAATGTGTGATTCATGATTATCTTTTATATTTATTATCCATCCTTAATGTGATGTGACAATTAACTTTATTATTATATCTATGATATCCTCAACAGAGAGTATTGAAGAATAATGGTGGGTTTGGGAAAAAAAAATGGTAGAATATGTATATATGTATAAGTTATGAGTCTAATAGCCAATTGAGTAATGAAACTTGCAGAAGTGTTATTTGTATTGCCTCTGTGACAATATATACCAGAAGATAGCTACATACAAAGTATTAAATTAGTAAAACATTATTATCAAATTACGTCTGATTTTACCATTTTTCCGATGCCTTTACCATCAACGCGGATCTGTGTCATGCATCAATTCGGATTATCGCCCTACCCTAACAACCTTTGCTCAGAGAGCGTCGCTTAGAATATGATGCTACCCAGGCCCTCATTTTCAACAATTAGACTATAGCTTAACCATCTACAAGTACAAAAATGAACAAGTAAACCCGACGAACATTCAATAAGCAGTCTAGATAAGTGTACTCATAAGGGGTCTTACAAGGATTAACACAGAACCGCAACCACACGCATCAATTCGGATTATCGCCCTACCCTAACAACCTTTGCTCAGAGAGCGTCGCTTAGAATATGATGCTACCCAAGCCCTCATTTTCAACAATTAGACTATAGCTTAACCATCTACAAGTACAAAGATGAACAAGTAAACCCGACGAACATTCAATAAGCAGTCTAGATAAGTGTAATCATGAGGAGATTATATGAGATTGTGGTTCTTTTTTGTGAAGCTGCTTTTCGGCTTGAGAGTATTGAAGAATAAAGGTGGGCTTAAAAAAAATGGTAGAATATGTGAGTATGTATAAGTTATGAGTCTAATAGCCAATTGAGTAATGAAACTTACAGCGGTGTCAGTTGTATTCAATTATATCTATTCCAACCTCTGTGACAATATATACCAGAAGATAGCTCACATACAAACTTTTAAATTAGTAAAACAGTATTATCAAATTATGTCTGATTTTACCATTTCTCCGATGCCTTTACCATCAACGCGGATCTGTGTCATGCATCAATTCGGATTATCGCCCTACCCTAACAACCTTGCTCAGAGAGCGTCGCTTAGAATATGATGCTACCTAGGCCCTCATTTTCAACAATTAGACTATAGCTTAACCATCTACAAGTACAAAGATGAACAAGTAAACCCGACGAACATTCAATAAGCAGTCTAGATAAGTGTACTCATAAGGGGTCTTACAAGGATTAACACAGAGCCGCAACCACACGCACCAATTCGGATTATCGCCCTACCCTAACAACCTTGCTCAAAGAGCGTCGCTTAGAATATGATGCTACCCAAGCCCTCATTTTCAACAATTAGACTATAGCTTAACCATCTACAAGTACAAAAATGAACAAGTAAATCCGACGAACATTCAATAAGCAGTCTAGATAAGTGTAATCATGAGGAGATTATATGAGATTGTGGTTCTTTTTTGTGAAGCTGCTTTTCGGCTTGAGAGTATTGAAGAATAAAGGTGGGCTTAAAAAAAATGGTAGAATATGTGAGTATGTATAAGTTATGAGTCTAATAGCCAATTGAGTAATGAAACTTACAGCGGTGTCAGTTGTATTCAATTATATCTATTCCAACCTCTGTGACAATATATACCAGAAGATAGCTCACATACAAACTTTTAAATTAGTAAAACAGTATTATCAAATTATGTCTGATTTTACCATTTCTCCGATGCCTTTACCATCAACGCGGATCTGTGTCATGCATCAATTCGGATTATCGCCCTACCCTAACAACCTTGCTCAGAGAGCGTCGCTTAGAATATGATGCTACCTAGGCCCTCATTTTCAACAATTAGACTATAGCTTAACCATCTACAAGTACAAAGATGAACAAGTAAACCCGACGAACATTCAATAAGCAGTCTAGATAAGTGTACTCATAAGGGGTCTTACAAGGATTAACACAGAGCCGCAACCACACGCACCAATTCGGATTATCGCCCTACCCTAACAACCTTGCTCAAAGAGCGTCGCTTAGAATATGATGCTACCCAAGCCCTCATTTTCAACAATTAGACTATAGCTTAACCATCTACAAGTACAAAAATGAACAAGTAAACCCGACGAACATTCAATAAGCAGTCTAGATAAGTGTACTCATGAGGAGATTATATGAGATTGTGGTTCTGTTTTGTACAAGAGTTCAAATAGTTTTTTTTTTCTTTTTTTTTCCTTTTGGAAGCAAGTCTATCCATAACGTCACCAGATCGACGGAGTTAAATTTAATAAGTGCAGGACGACATTGTTACTCGGGCAATTTCCCAATCCGGAATATTGAACAATTCTGGCGATGCCGTATGTTCCTACAGGAGCGCACTGTTTACTAACGAGTTTTCTCTAAGTGTATTTCCGCAACATAATTGATGTCTGAACATTTTGGTAACGTTCCCTCTCCACAATGCTCTTTCTGTGGTACGGCTGAGGACTCAACCATTCATTTCTTGGTGGAATGCCCAATCTGTTTTGCATGGAGAACAAACTTAAAATAAACCAAAAGTGATACTGTTAGAACTTGGATACCACTTTATTATGGACGAAAAAATATAATTAAAAACGTATAAAAAAAAATGTCCTTTAAATTTAGCCCTTCCATACTGAGTATATAAATATTAGTCAGAGGGATCAACAGTTATAACATCAAATGACAAGAGTAATATTTGTGCTCAGGATCTCTGAATATTCCATAGTCCAGGCCCATTCGATTGTAGTGCTTTTTGCAGAGTAAATATTTACTCGCCACAGGGTTGTGCCCTGTGTACAGACTTCAACGGTAGGAAGAGAACAAGCGGGGTAATGTGTGATTCATGATTAACTTTTATATTTATTATCCATCCTTAATGTGATGTGACAATTAACTTTATTATTATATCTATAAATATCCTCAACACTATATACGTAGAAGCGCTTTTGATATATTTGGATTCCGTATAATTTAACCTTTCTTATGTGGGAGCCACCATTAATGTTCAACTTATATATATATTGATCATTAACTTCAGGTTCTTTGCTAGCTTTTTCTTGTCTTTTGTGAAATGATTGTTGTCAACGACAGACCAGGGACCGGAAACTTCAACGGCAGAGAAAATAGCAACAACACCTTCATTGTCTATGGGCAGACGATAACCCATCCACTTTTGTCTTGCCAAAAACGAAAGACTCACCCCATTCCTTCTTTATATTCTCATTTAAACCAAAGAGTTCTTTGAAGAGTGGAGCAATAAAGTGAAATTTAAAGTCGTCTTCTTTTTGTAAGTAGTCGGTAAAAAGATTCACATGCTCTTCATAACGCTGATTGATGCTGTTAAAGAAATTGTTGTTAACAAATATATACATCCTATTCTAATTTTGATCAAGATTATACCATGTCATCTTACTCCTCGTATGGGCTCCTATCCAAATTAATCTTAGCTTCATGATGGAACCATTTTCCATCTTGCATCAAGACCCAACCATTTTCATCAGCGTCGGATTCATTTTCTTCTACTGTAGGCCCGGGTGAAGGGGTATACAGTAGTCGCTCGATTTAAGGGTAACCAAAAATTTCGGAAATCTCGCCCAGAAAAACATACACTGTCAAATCGTTGGATTTAAGGGTATGGGAAATTGGAATATCACCCTTAAATAGAATAGTGGTTTTAGTGGTGACTAATGCGGGTGACAAAAGCTGTTTTTCAAAAATTCTCACCTAAATAGAAAATACTCTTAAATCGATCAATGCAGGATAATCTTCTTTTCCTTGAGTTTATTGCAGATTCATATAACTTGGCATTGTCTTCTAATAAGCGTGCAAAATGGAAAATATTTCTCAAATCATCATAAAAATCATTCAAAAGCAACAATGATGCGGGGAAATGTATTTTAAACAATGGCTTAGCAACATAGAGCCCATTGGAGTTCAGATATACAGAGATTACTTGAGCACAAAGTCCTTTGATTTGAATTGTATGTCCTATCGCGTTCTTGGCATCATCATCAGGGATCACCGTGTGTAATATACGATCTAAAACATCTTTTCCTTCTCGAAGAAGCTTGGATTCATCATTTAAAATCTTTGCTTCATCAACAGCTTCTTTTGCAGCTTCACCCGCACCAACATCATATTCATTTCCATTAAAATCATAGACAAACCGGATATCAATTTTAAATGCCTTTACATGCTTTGTGTTGACGTATTGGAGCTGCTTTTCGGCTTGAGAGTATGGGGAAATGGATTCACCGAGTTTGATTCTGACCAAGTTACCTCCTACAGAAAGGGTCTTCTTCAACAATGGTGTCCATGCCACTACGGTAATGCTACTCCAAGTACATTTGTTACCGTAGAAAAACGGACCATAGAGTAAACTGCCGTAAAATAAACTACCGTAAAATAAACTACTGTAGAATGAACTACTGTAGAATAAACTACCGTAAAATAAACTACCGTAAAATAAACTACCGTAGAAAGAACTACTATAGAGTAAACTACCGTAAAATAAACTACCGTAGAAAGAACTACTATAGAGTAAACTACCGCAGAATAAAATACTGTAGAATAAACTACTGTAGAATAAGCTACTGTAGAATAAACTACCGTAGAATAAACTACCGTAGAATAAACTACTGTAGAAAAAACTACTGTAGAAAAAACTACTATAGAAAAAACTACTATAGAATAAACTACTATAGAATAAACTACCGTAAAATAAACTACCGTAAAATAAACTACCGTAGAATAAACTACCGTAGAATAAACTACCGTAGAATAAACTACCGTAGAATAAACTACCGTAGAATAAACTACCGTAAAATAAACTACTGTAAGATAAACTATCGTAGAATGAACTACTGTAGGATAAACTACCGTAGAATAAACTATTGTAGGATAATCTACTGTTGGATAAACTACCGTAGGATACACTGCAAGGAAGTGTGCATCAATTTTCTTGATAACAGTGCCATGGGATGAGGAGGGTTCACCTATATGGCCTCTTTCACGATAACGGACATCCTTCTCCAAGCTTCCAATATTATCCAAAAGTGCGCGTTCTGTAACCAGATTGACAGATCTTTGTGCCAAATGTTGTTGTCGTTGAAAATCTTCATATAAATCTAAACATTTGTAGTAAGAACAGTAGAACGCTTCCTTCTTGCTACTTGCTTTGTAATATTTCATAACATCACCGCAATAATTAGCCAAGTTAAACCATACTTGCTGCACCTAACAAATTCACCATACTTGCTGCACCTGACATATCCACCATACTGGCTGTACCTGACATATCCACCATGTTGCCGTAGTGTGTGTTTGTTACATTTGATTTTGTTTAAATCCGACACAAAAGAAGTCAGGACTTTGTGGGCTTGTTTCTTGGGGCTTGGTGAGTTCTCAATAATTAATTTGGAAATGGCATCAGAGTCTAACCATTTCTCCACAGGTAATTGAGAGAAATACAGCAAAACTGCAATCTCTTTCAGACAAGCAAAAGTTTTTTTGAAGGCCATGACGAATTGGATCGCGCATAAATATCTGTATGACAAAAGCAAAAAAAAGGACATGTTTAGACCTCCCTATTTTTTTTTTTTTCAAACGTTTTTTTTTTATACCACTTACAGCAATCTGACCAAGACTAGCAAGCCAGTTGTAATCACACCCATTCACAGTGTAATCCCTGCCATTTACAGTCTGTACATCAACTGAGTGTCCAAAACCCAAGAACCCAACCAAGGAGGTCACCATCCTATAGCAAAGACTAGCCGCAGTCGCAATATCGCAATACATCTTTTTTTCATTTTAGCGTTTTTACAAGAAACAAGAGTCATTACTAACTAACCTTTTTTACATTATTGGTTACTTTCATAAGATAGAAGAAATATGTTAAGAGAAAAGAAAAAGAGAAGAATAAAGTGTGTGAACCAGCTTTATTTGTAGGCTGATAAACAAGCTTATGTCAGGATGATTTAATTGATTGTTTCATCATCCATAATGTTTGAGCCTTTACTTAAAATAGAAACATTAGCAAATAAATCTGAACTTGGTAGTTGTCCATCTGTGTTCCAGTAGTAGCTTGTAATGATAGTAAAACACATTTTATGGGACATAAACATCCATCATCCTTATGGAGTTTAGACGATATAGCATGTCAATCGACGTAAAGACTTATATGTAGACCATCACATGATCCTAAAATATACGTTTGAAAAAAAATACGGATGTCTAGACATTTCCAAAAAAAAAAAAAAAAAAAAAAAAAAAAAAAAAAAAAAAAAAGGCCGATGTCGTCCTGCTTTGTCCGTAAGTCCATTATGCCATCAATCCGCTAATCGGCCATTGTAACTTAATACACATAAACAACCGCATTAATCTTTTCTACGATTGTACGAACCAATACAATTATAGTTGCTCCGGATTGGCTTCAATTATCAATCAATAAACGTTATCTTTATTCTCCTCTATATGTCATATTTTAGGAAATGTCTAGACCTCCGTATTTTTTTCAAACGTATTTTTCAGAATCACGTGAAGGTCTACACGTCAATTGACATGCCATATCGCTTAAACTTCATAGGATGATCGATTTCTGTTTTCCATAAAATCTGCTTCACTGTCATTACAAGCTACTACTGGAGCGCAGATATACAACTACCAAGTTCCCATTTGCTTGGGGGGTTTAATACATATGTTTCTATTATAAGTAAAGGCCCAAACATCATGAAAGATGAAACAAGTAATTAAATCATCCTGACATAAGCTTGTTTATCAGCCTACAACTAAATCTGGTTCACATACTTTATTCTTCTCCTTTTCTTTTCTCCTAACATATTTCTTCCATCTTATGAAAGCAACGGATAATGTAAAAAGGTTAGTTAGTAATGACTCTTGTTTCTTTCAAAAACGCTAAAATGAAAAAAAGATGTATTGCGATATTGCGACTGCGGCTAGTCTTTGCTAAAGGAGGGCGACCTTCCAGGCAGAGAGTTCTTGAGTTTTTAGAACTCACAGGCTGTAAATAGCTGGGATTGGACTATAAATAGTTGTAAGCATACAGGCCTTCTGGTCTTGGTCAGATTGCCGTAAGTGGTATAAAAAAATACGTTTGAAAAAAAAATACGGAGGTCTAAACATTTCCCAAAACAAGATCTAACGAATGGGTTTTTGAGAAAGCTTTAGCTTTTTATCTCAAATATAATGAGAATAAAAATGAAGCCCTCCAAAATATGAAGAGTGACCTACTGGAACTATTGGCCAATGTCAATACAGACCCATTAGCCAGGAAAAAAAGCAGAGAGTCTTCTAAATGGAATTCCATGTATCGAAAGTACGAGTTCAACTTTGGCTATTCCAGTTAATTACAATATCTACAACATGAAAGATAATAGAAACGTTAACAATTACTTTAATAACAATGGAAAAAGAAGCAACGGCATTTTTAACACTCCTGGTGGCAAATCCACAAATTTCACAAATAGATTGTTAAAAACAACTATTCCAAACCAAGGAAATGAAGATTCAGACTTGCAAGACAGAGAGGATGTAGAAGACGAGGAGCAATTACAAACATTGTTTTTGCAGAAGAAGGTAATAAGTTAAGGCTGTCGTCTCCTGTAGCCGCTAATAACTAAATTGATCATATGTAGACAATGCTGAACTATACTCCAGACTGAATGATTCAATTAAAGTATGGAAGGCAAACCAAGCATATGAACCCCTGATACACAAACAACAATTGTTATATTATAACATTATCGATACCAGCTTGGACGCCTCCCCATTACCAAATAAAGACTTAAATTCAATCACAAAAATGGATATGCCAGTTTATATTACACCCTCCCTCACTGAGCCCCCTAAAGTCAATTTAAACAGTTGCAATTCTTTCAGCAGCTTGAAGAAACTTTACGACGAAGATAAGCAAAATATGCCATATATTAATTCATGTTTACTGCAAGTATTGCCTTAATTTCTTGATTCAAATTTTTTTTTCCTGACCTTCTACCAACTTACAGAACATTTGCTAACATTTTTAAAGCAGTAACAGACTCATCAATAAACATACAATTGCTTATGAAGTACATGTCTGTTTTTTTTTTGCCAGCGCTGCATCTCCTCAATCTTCTCGACACTATGTCTTTCTACTGCAAAAAAAAATAGGCACACTTTACGCTGATCTTACCCTTTTTCTCGATGAAATCATAAAGGGTGGTCTTAGACACCTCAAGCTCTTTAAAATGAAAATTGAGGCTGTTCATCAATTCATCTAAAACCAACGATCAATCGTTTCGACCAAATACTTTTGATGCTCCTCATTCAATATTGCTGGCCTGGCTTTAGGGCTCTTTTTTATCGAAATCGTCGCTTCCTTCTTCATATTTCTTTTTCCAGTTGTAAGCTGATGATTTTGGTATCTTCCATTCCACAGCAGTAGTACGTACTTTCAAAGATTTAAAATAAAAAATAAAAATGGTGTTGTCTAGATTTTTTTTATCAGTGGTTTGGTCTTTTAGATCTTGGGGGTTTTCATTCTTGTTGTTTTCTCAGGTGGCTTAAAGGTCTACATACTAATCGTAATTGGTCAGTTGCTTCAATGGGTATTGTTAATTGTCAATTTCCACTTGGTACACATGAGTTTCATTTCCTTAGGGTGTTTGGACATTTTCGGAAAAAGGTGTAATAGCAAATTATAATAGCCATCATTCAGGGGGGTGGTAAGCCCAACAACTCGTTTTAGATCACGGATTTAATAATAGCCTTCAAAAAAGGATACTATTTATAAAAAAAAAGACATATGGCATTGAAGGTTGTTGTACCGGAAACTTTTTAACCCACCCGAAATAAACAGGAGGCGTTCCGAAAAGAATAAAAAGATGCGTAGCCATAATAATCGGGTCACACGAACATGTCACAACGTTAAGGGGGGGGGCGTTGTTAAATGATAAATCATAAAAGGTGGTAACCGTATGATGAACATCAGTTTATTCAACCTATATCACATGCTGTTTACATTTCAATTATAGACTTGGTTTCAAAATATAAAAAGTTTATATGATAAAATGCCATATTTTTTTTTTTTGATTGAAAAACCCCTAACGTTGGGCAAACGTACCCACAAAGAATTGGGTTTAGCAGGCTTTTTTTTTTTTTTATTGCCAGCAAACTGCTTATAATAAAAGCCTTGGCTTTTATTCTTGGGTGACGTACCGTACAGGGCAATAGTAACGAAAAAGAATACTCTCACCCTTCCCCTCCCCAGATTTATAATAGAACAAGAGGCGTACAAAAGAACTTTTTTTTTTTTGTGTTGAAGGTATTTGTGTAAGTAAACCCTTGGGGGTATCTGAATAAAATCATGCATTTTTTTTAGAGAAGATCACGTCATAAGCCAAGTCCTGCAAAAAAAAAGGTAGAATGCTCGCTTATTTATAATCCCGTATCTTTAAACAAAAAGGTTAAGCTCATCGGTGATTATGGGGTAAAAGGCGCGCATCGCTTACTAAAGAATGCAGACAAAATGAACTGTAGGGAATATGTCATTTTGAATTGTTTTCTTAAATGATGTAACCTAAAAAAAAAAAAAAAAAAGAAAGAAAAAAAATTCCCAGGTTTGGGTAAAATCTGACCATTGAAATGACTCACGGATGAGCTCGTGGAGGAGGCGGGTGGGCCCAGCAGACCCCAAACAAGATACCATGGGGTAAACGTGAAAAAAAAAAGATGAAATAAACATAGTGTAATCAAAACAAATAAGTTACGTAGAACCATTTGAGAATTGTTAAGAATCCAGTGTTGCTTAGGCTGATATTTCTCTCTCAATGACGGAATAACCAAAAAAAAAAAAAAAGGCGGAGTTTGTACAGACGTTTTTAAATCAAAAAGAGAGAGTGTAGGTCGCTATTGGTTACGTGTCAGTTAAAAAGAGAAAAAGGATCGCTCCATATAAAGCGATTTGTTAGAAAGAGGTAAAAGTTTTTTTTTTTTTATCAATTCATTTCTCTCTTTTCTTTTTATTTTTTATATGTCATACACATCCAAATTCACCGAAATATTTGATATCAGCCCAAACGATGTATGCCTGGGAGTTCATGCTGCACCGCATAGTCCTGAACAATCCGATCTGTCAAAATCTACAGTCAAACCTATAGCGATTCCCAAGAAAAGGGAGATGCCCCTAACACCCCCACACTCACCGCACAATTCGGAAGCTTTATCTTACAAATTCAAAACTTTTCTCAGTTCGATATCAAGGAAGAGGGACAGATCCGTATCTCCTGCCACATCCAACAAGGCTATTCCTACTAAATAGATTAAACTGTATTCATACCCCTTCACTCACTCTATGGAATTGAGAGTGAAAATCACACACACACAGTATCCATGACATTCTCTCCCCTACTTTTTTTTGTTTGTTTAATTATTGATAAATCTTCTTTTTTTGGCTTACGTTATCCTAAATCTCTCTCTCTCTTTTTTTTGTTTTGTTTTAAGGCCGTTGTAAATATGTTTACAACATGATTTGACACATTTTTAAAAAACCAAGGTATTCTTGCAGAATGAGGATGTGCATACATCCTAAACTAAAACGGGGGCGCACTGGGGTCGAATAATTTTTTAATTTTTTTTTAATAATTTATTCAGGAGATATAATTGAAAAAAGAGTGATCGCTAAAGAAAAAAAGATATAAAAAAAAAAAGAATGGTATAATATGGAAGGGAAAAGGAATTAAACAAATTCTGTTAGGAATAAATCAAGTTTGTCTTGATCCCATTCAGCTGAATTGACAACTAGATCGTCACTGTTCCATACAGGAGGAGGGAATAAAATGGCATTATCATCCAGCATGGTATGATTTGGATCGAAATTAAATATGTCTGCAAAAAAAAATGATTTTAATACTTCTTTTTTTAGTGAGATAAATTATTAAAAACTTACCATTGATATCTATTTCATTTTCACCTGCTGAGGTTGTGGCTGGTTGATGGTAATGGTAGTTCTCTAGTGATGGTGACACAGATCCATCTTTTGTTTGAACTGCAGACGGGTAAAGTGTGTTATCTAGATCTATATAAACATGTGTAAGATAATTAAAATATAATAATATAAGTCATAGTTACCATTAAATAGACGGTTGTGATGCTCAATGGGTACAAACAAGGATTCATTGGGTGGTATAGAAGGCGAATGAATGGTCATGTTGGCTAAACCTTGCAGATTAGGCGAAACCGAATCCGGCCTTAACCATGCCCCACTCTTCTTCTTGACGAGAAGATCACGTGCATCTCTGAGTCGATCGGTCAAGACGGCTTTTTTACCCGTTGCTGGCAGACCTCTTTCGCGTAACATCTCCTTTAATTCCGCCACAGTTACATCTTCAAAATTCAACTGAATTAACTGGTCTTCTAACTTCTTTTGCGTCTCGACTGGGTCACACGTGACTGGTTTTGGTACAGGTTTATGAACTCGTTCGATAGCAACCGGTCTTGTATCCACTTTGGCTGCCTTTTGGACATGATGAACGGGTGTAGGATCCGTCACTTGAATCTGAGTAAATATAAGCGGAGTCGGTACATGTTGCTGCTTTTGTTTATGAAGGAAAGCAGGTGGTAAAGAAGAAGATCTTCTACGTTTCTGATGTTGCTTTAATTGCTTTCCCAAAAAGGTATTATACGATGTACGATGAAGTTCTGGGAAGAACGTGATTGTTTGTTGTTGTTCTCCCTGTGTCGGTGCTTTAGCCTTCGTAGGTGGTGACATCAAATGTTCGTCCGAAGACGTGGATAATGGCGAATCAAAACTAAAGTGATGACTATTACTAAGAGCAGCGGCTGCAGCAGCAGAAGGAAATTCTAGTGTCTAAAATTAAAATAAATAAAAAAAAAATTATTTAATCATGACGGATTAAAAATGTGTTATGCTAACTAATAATATTAATATTTACTGCAGAAGACCCAATTCTGTTTCTAAAGTTAGGAGGTAGGAATTCCTCTTCTGGTATAGTGGGTTCATTCATGATTAATCTATTTGTATTGGAATATAACGGATTAATAGGTAAGTCGACCGATGAACTACGTCTCCTTTGAAATGGTGGATGATGATAAGGTACTTTTTGTTGCTCGTATTCCATGGGTATAAATTGTGATTCTACTGTCTGCCCTTGATGTTCATTCCAATCAATGTTGGTAAATATAGGTGGATGTTCCAACAATTTCCAGTAATCATTTATATCTTCCATTTTAGACTAATTTTTTTTTTTTTTTTTACTGATTAAAAAAAAAAAAAAAATATATAAAGTGAAAAAAAGAGGTGGGAAAATAAAATAAGTGCATGGTCTTATTTATTTATTTATTTTCAATGTCCATAAATGGAAATTTTATTTGATCAATACAGACGCTTGTTGTGCCGCAATACCTGCTTGACCTGTACAATAACTGTTCTTCATATTAGAACGACAACACTTGTAACCCCATTTGCCTTCAGACCAGTAGGATCCCCATACTGTCGTATGATTATTGACAAATACTATAATTTTTAAAGTTAATAATAAGGTTTAAGAACGTTCTATTTTTTGTATTACCATCTTCTTCGTATTTCGACTTGGCCTTTGCTCTCTCTTGACCTTTAATAACTCTACCGGTTCTAGAGTATTCCACATAATTTTCACTTTGGGCCAATAATAATTCCTTGGGAGGTGCCTCCAGGTACTCTTCACCACCATATTTCTCAAGAATACTCTTTTGTGTTGTATCACGTACTTGATCTTTCTTGGATTCATATTCCTTGTGAAGAATAGCCACTTGTGTAGGATTCGCTTGAAGATGAACTTCATTACCTCGTTCAGATGCTTGCCATGCAAACATTTGGACTTTAGCCATCTGTGGTGCATCACCTGTGTATCTTACAAAATTGTCTCCAGAGAAATCAATGCCTTCCTCTGTTTGGTTATCTAATGGGTTATCACGCATCGAACGTGTTTTGGGATCGTAGAATGCAGAGTCTGTATCGAGGTTTAACAGATATTTGGCGGTATCTTCACGGATTCTATATAAGCCATGTGTAAATATATATATAGGTTTGGGTCTTGTTATCTCACAAAAAGTAGATTCATTGCTATAAAAATTATATTACCTCAGGTTACGAATGGTAGTTCTTGTCTTTTGGTTGACGTGTTGACCAGGCATATCAGCAGCATCGGCATATTTATCATCATCATCCTCATCTTCATCGTCAGATAAACCAGCAATCTTTTTGGCCTCAGATGTGGTGGTAGGACCTTGTTTATCCAACTCTGAAGCCTTGGCCTGTCTCCTTGCCTCTTCAATCTTGCTGTATTCCTCAATGACTTTATCGTGCTCTTTAGGATCATAACCGTTCCAGCGATCCCGCTTCTCGTCCCAATCTAAATCTACTTCTTGCACAATCTCATCGGCCTTGATGTTCTCTCCTGTCCATTTAGCTCCCTTTTTACGTGGACGTTCAACACAATCTCTCGTCTTGTGTGTGATGGCACCACAATTCTCACAAGCGCCTTTACGGTATTTTGTTGCAGCAGGACCCTTTTAGTGTGTGTGTGCGTATATGTAAGTGTGTGTGTGTGCAGAGAATACCCTCTTTTTTTTTAAAAAAAAAGAAAAACTTACAGCTCTTTTTCCTCTTGCGTACCAATAATTGTCGTCGGCAGTGAACTTTGGTCCAGAACGCTTTTCGGGTGCCTTTTGATGCTTTAAAGAGACTTTACCGTTATCAACGTACCATGGAGCTTTCAACATGAATTGCGGGGTGTGAGGATTGATTTCGTTGCCTTCGTCATCCACTTCGGCAGGAGCTGTACCCGCTTTACGTGCTGCATCCAGATCCTTGGCTTGACGATATTCTTCCTTTGTGAGTCGACTTTGTTGCATCTAAATTATATTTATATTCAAGAAAGAAAGAAAAAAAAGATAGAGAGAACGACAAAAAAAAAAAGTAAATAGAAAAAGAAAGAAAAAAAAAAAAGGTGACGGTTATTTTCAAAACAGTAGCTTTTATCATGCGGGTTTGTTCCATTGTATGCAATAGAAGTTTTCAATAAGGGTAAAATCCATTTTACTGCATTTACAAGATATGAAGTCATGTATTCCAAGATAATGGTAACAGAAAGACTGGGATAGCACATGTGGCTGCTTGTATACTTTTGACGCTGAACTCAGAAAACACGTGTGTTTTGGCAAGTGTCAAATAAAGCTATTTTTAAAACGCTATATTATGAGTGCATGTTTCCAAAAAAAAAAAAAAACATCTAATTGTTTATTTTATTTATTTATATTCTATCACTTTGTAGGGATCTCCTGTTGCCTTTAAAAGACTAGACCAATAGGTGGGCATGTCGAATGCAAAGTTGTAATGGCCACCTAAAGCCACCTCCATTTGCTTTAAAGAAATGTAGTCATCGATCTCAATGACACCAGCTGCTTTAGTACCATCCGTGTTAATGAATTTAATTTTGTCTCTTGTAACAGGATCCACAAAAGGAGAAATAACCTTGAATGTTGTAAGGAAGAACCAAGGAGCTAAATATACATATTTTTTTTTTTTTATAAAAAAAAAGAGAGAGAGAGAGTTGTCAATATATAAATTGAGCTGTTTAGCTTACACACTTACAGTTAATTAAAAAGGCAACGCCGAGTCTTTCGGGATAATGGTTACCAAGGATATCCAAAAACTTTTTACATGTGCCAACGTTTGGATTATTTGACATGCTGGATCCCTTAAAGTCTACCACGATTGAGATTTTCTCAACATGATCAGGCATTAAACGGATACCTCGTTCAAGACAAAACACAATGAAATTCACTTGTCCCTCTGAGTCCTTGGAGTTTTCAAAGCGAGGCTTCATGATCCAAAGAGGTTTACCCGATTTATCGAACCCGTTGAAATACATTTTACCCGTTTCAGCCTAAAATGTACCAAAGAAAATTAGAACTGGGGGAGTGCTAAAAAAAAAAAACCTTTCCTTTTCTTTTTCTTACCTCACGATGAATCACAGCAGGATCCAACTGGTCTGGCTTAAACTCTCTTCTCCATTTTACTGTATTTTCCAACATGGTTTTAGCTGCCTATATATTCAAGAAAAAGAAAATCTTAATCACCGTGTTTTATGAGGAGGTAGACACTGCCTTTTTTTTTTTTTGACATTATTACTTCAAAATCCCATTTTCTTGCTCTCATGTAACGATTAGCTGTACCCTCTGATAAAAATCCTCTTTCGTTGGGATAATAGGCATCATCGGTTGGTAAGATAATTGTGTCCATATAAGCCAATAATTCTTTCACTTTAGCCTTTTGTTCATCATCGGTCGCAGCGTTTAAGACAGGTTGATAATCACTGGGTGCAGACAAGATAGGTTCGTTTGTGATCGGTCCAAAATCCACTGAGGGAGCAGCTGCAGATTTTGTACTAGCGGTAGAAGAAGCGGATTTAAACTTGAATACGTTCATTTCTAAGAGGAGTTGATGATAAAGAAAGTAGAAAAAGAAAAAAAAAAGAAGAAGAAGAAAAAAATGGGAGTTATTTTGTATCTCGCGTAAAAAAAAAAAAAAAAAAGTGACGCTTTATGCCTATTTATAGAAATTGAGTGGAACGGGGTGATATGCAGCCCATAAGTGTTTTATTCAAACGGTCTAACTTACCTTTTAAAGAAATAAACATGGGCGTTCATGACATAAATATTAGCCACAAGTAAATTTAAAGTTGAATGACTTGTCTTTTATACATCATCAGAAATATCAAAGTGTGCTTTTAACTTTGAACTGAGATTTATACTCGTGCTGAATGTTAGAAGAGTATACATTAAGGAGGTAAACTTTGTGCTTCATACTACTTAAAAAGCTTTATATGCAGGCTTATAAAGATGAAAGCATCCGATAGATGGATTGCTTACCACTGTAAGATCTCTCGGATAGTACTGCTCGGAATACAAAATTTAACGAATTGAATGTTATCTACAATAAGAGTCTGCTTTATCAAAGAGCTCAATGCCATTCCATTATAAATGCAATACGTGCATACCTTTCAAGTACAAATAATTGGTTTGACGTGTATCTAAATTTTAGAAACGAATGGGGTACCTTCGATTACAAGTAACTTACTAGAATTTAAAGTGTTACACATTTTTTGATGGGCTGGACCAAATGTACCCTTTTTTTTTGACGCCAAAGCAATGATTTTTAAAAGCCAACAACGCATTCGTGAGAATACTTTACCTCTTTTTCCTCTAGTTTAACAACAATGATAGGAAGTCATGTTCCTTCAGAAATTACAAGTTTGATCTTGGGCTATGTCCAAAGGGACAGTGATATCAAAACATGTCGCCTCGTTTGCTCGGATTGGAACTCAAAGATATGCTCCATTTATTACAAGCATGGGATTTCAGTAACTCTTCATAACGAAGATACATGTAGCGAGCTCGAAGACCAACTTGCCAAACTCCCCAAGTTGGCTTCCAGAATTCATAGGGTTTCCGTCGCAAATCCTGTGTTTAGAGCCGTCAATCCTTATACGTTGATATCCGTTTTAAATATGTGCACAGCTCTTGAAAAACTTAACTTCCTCACACATGACAAAACCAGTAGCTATTTGTTGCTAATCTTTCAAAAAGGACATCTCTCATGCATAAAAGAAATCCGTGTGGATGGCATAAACACAACTTCACCAGTAACGCGAAGGCTCCATTCACTTGTCAACCTTAAAAACTGTGACCAAATAACCATGCTAGAACTAAGTGATATAACAGGATATGATAGTGACGGTCTGCCAGCTGTTCGTCACCAAACACCCGACCATCCTCTCCCCACGCCTCACTTTTCCTGTGATGGTTATCCTGATTTAATCAGTTACGCTTCAAAATTTCCCAACTTGAAGGTTTTGAAATTATTACCTAGTCCAGATATTCATGTTCTTGATATAACTGCTCTCATGGAGTCCAGTATCATCTGCAAACTGGAGGCTTTGCATATTTCTAGTAATGATCTGGATTTAATTGTCCAAAAGGAACCTTGTGATTGGCCAAAAGACAATGAATGCAACACGATAACCGAACTTGATATCTGTGTGAAGACAATCAGCGTAAGCACTTTGGAATGCATTATGACGAAATTCACACACCTTCAAAGGTTGGCCATTGATCAAGATCTTCATTTGACTGATTATCAAAATTCATCTTTTGATAAAGCTGAAACTCAGGTGTTTATGGATCAATTCACTTTTTATTGTAATCGTATTAAAAATCTGGAAGTCTTTATGGTGTATGAAACGTTGGATGAAGATGGTGATAGGGTTCCAAGACAAATTTCAACTCAAGAAGGTCGGCTCATTGATATGGAGCACGAGTCATGTTTCTGCTATTATAAGGATAACACATCCGTTGGTACTGGGTTTTTCGATGATGATGATCCGGTTGAAGAATTTCATTATTATTTTGATGATGATGATGAGGATACTTACGCTCCTGATGACGATTTTTTTAAAACAAACACTATTGAAATGTGATACGAGCATTGCGACTAAGTACAGCGTAATCAGCAGGTTCCTCAGGAAAATTAAGCCCTAAATCTCATCACATAAAAACTATTCGAAATAAAAATGACAAAGGTTCAGATTTCTCTTTTATATCTCATATGTATACAATATCAACCAACGTTATTGTCACGGGTTATCATTTGTTTAGTTTAAGCTTTGGGCATCTAGATATTAGGGGAAGTTTGGACAATACACAACGTGTAAGCTAAAGTACATGTAAGTTGCAATGATTCCTTGGGGACATTTAACGCATCCAACCTCAAGCATATCTTCAAGTCATGCTTGAAGAAGTCTTGTGCAAACGTCATCACTTAATTATGTAATTTTCACAGTACTTTTGAAAGCAAACAACGCGCTCGTGAGAAAATTCATCTCTTTTACCCGCGATGGATACATTTTTAAAAGGATATTACCTCCCAAAAGAAATTGTGGAGTTGATCTTTGGGTACCTCGATAAGGACAACGATATTAAAAACTGCCGTCTGGTATGCTCGAATTGGAACTCTAATGTATACTCCATTTGTTTTAAGTGTGGGATTCAAGTAGCTCTGGGAAGCGCTAGTAGATGCGAAAAGCTTATGAAAGACCTGGTCGAGTTCCCTCAGTTGGTTTCCAAAGTTCGGAAACTATGTCTTAGCTATATCGATGAAGACCCTATCGAACCCAATATGTTTGTCTCGTTACTGGATCAATGTACCTACATTGAGAATCTCAGATTTTGTATAAATCAAACTGGCGAACAGTATTTGTTGGCGTTGTTCAATGACACACCACATATCTCACGTATGAAAGAAATCACTGTAGATAAAGTACACTTTTCTTCTAGACCTATTCGAATAAGCCATTTGTTGATCAACTTCGTGTATCGTAATTCAATAACGGTGTTGGAAATAAGTGATGTTCGCAATGAAACAGCTGCTGGAATTTCCGTTGATGGGAAAATATATATCGATTCAGCATATAGGAAAAATCCAAGATTAGCTATGAAACTTGATTTTATGGATGAATCTTGTCATACATTGATCGAATTCGCTACTAAATTTCCCAAGTTAAAGGTCTTGAAATTACTGCCAGGTTTGCTTTCTGATGATATTGATATCTCTGCTTTGATGGAGGCAAATATGCATACATTGGAAACATTGCATATTTTTGGTTCTCATTGTAATTTGGATATGAAAAAACCATTTTATAGCTGGCCAACTGTCAATCCATGCAACTCTATAACAGAAATTGATATACGCGTACTTCGAGTTTGCGCAGGAACTTTGGAATGTGTCATGACATTGACAAATCTTCAAAAGCTGGTCATTAATCTGGAATTACATTCAACCTTTTATGAAAGATCTTCTTTTGACAAAGATAAATCTCAATTATTGATAGATCGATTCACTTCATATTGCAATAGAGTCAAAAAGGTTGAAGTCTATATGGTTTACGAAACGTTTGCTGAAGACAATGCAGTCGTTCGAAGACAGATGGTTACTCAAGATGGTCGATTAATTGACATGGAACATAAAATCAGTTCTTGCTGCAGCGATTTAAACATATTTTTTACGAGGGCGTTCAATATCGAAGATTATGATATTACTGATCAAAATGTCTATATTTATGGTGATGGTGACACTGAATGAAGGCATATGTATACTGAAAAAGATGTTTATAGAGACTATTATTCAATACGATATGCCTGAAAATGGTCTTTGCATACGCTTCTAGTACTCTATCTTTAAAGCCCTTTTTTTATTAATTAATAGAATAAAAAAAATTTAGTATATAGCCGACTAGAAATTCTTTAATATGCTGTATACAATGTAAAAAATTTGGATCGTTACTCGTTTACGCTTGGGATTGAACTTTAGCCAAAAACAGTAGGAAGGAGTCTAGACAAGATATCGTGGATGATCTGAAGTGCTTACAGACAATAGCATCATAGTTATGCCCATTGTAATACCGTCGTTTACGATACTGTAAGCGAAAAGCTATAACTCCTTGGAGATATTTGATGCCCGATTTGATGCTGCAACTACACTTAACTTAATTGTGTCCCTCATAGATATGTAACGTTGTTCAAACATCATCATCAAATTATGTAATTTTCACAGTACTTTTGAAAGCAAACAACGCGCTCGTGAGAAAATTCAACTCTTTTCCCGCAATGGATACATTATTAAAAGGATATCACCTCCCAAAAGAGATTATGGAGTTGATCATTGGGCATCTTGATAAGGACAACGATATTAAAAACTGTCGTCTGGTATGCTCAAATTGGAACTCTAACGTATACTCCATCTGTTTCAACTGTGGGATTAAAGTAGCTCTGGGTAGCGCTAGTAGATGTGAAAAGCTTATGAAAGACCTGGTCGAGTTCCCTCAGATGGCTGCCAAAATTCGAAAACTATGTCTTAGCTATATTGATGAGGACCCTATAGACCCCGATATGTTTGTTTCCGTACTGGATCAATGCACCTACATTGAGAATCTTGAATTTCGTATAAAAAACACAGGTCCACAGTATTTGCTGGCACTTTTTGATAAAACCCCGCATATCTCACGCATGAAAGAAATTACTGTAGAGGACGTGGACCTTTGCTCGAGATCAATTCGAAGAAGCCACCTTCTAATCAACTTTATCTACCGTAATACAATAACAGTGCTGGAACTAAGTACTGTGAAAGATGAAGAAGATGCTCAGGTTTTCCCTCATTGGCAAAAATATATCAGCTCAACAGATACGGCACATCTAGGATTATCGACAACAATTGATTTTTTCGGTGATGGTTTTCATAAAATGACCAACTTCGCTTCCAAATTTCCCAAATTAAAGGTCTTGAAATTAGTTCCGGGTTTGCTTTGTGATGAAATCGATCTCACTGCTATAATGGAGACAAATATCTGTAAACTGAAGACGTTGCACATTTTTGGTTCTCACCTCCGTTTGATAATTTCGGCCCCCCGCAGTCATTGGCCGGAAGTCAATCTATGTAACTCCGTAACCGACCTTGATGTACGCACAAGGATGATTTGCGCAAGAGGTTTGGAATGTATAATGACATTTACAAATCTTGTTAAGCTGGCCATTCATGTTGACTTCCATTTAACTGATTACCGAAACTCCTCTTTCAACGATACTGAATCTCACTTATTGATAAATCAATTCACTTCATTCTGTAACAGAATTAAAATTGTTGACGTCCATTTGGTGTATGAAAGTTTTACTGCAAATCACAAGGTTATTACAAGACAAATAGTTTCTCAAAATGGCCGCTTAATTGACATGGAGCACAAAAGTACTGTTTGCTGTAGTGAGCTTAAATATTTCTATTACCTTTATGAGGTGGATCTTGCTAGAGGTTACAATACGATTGACGAATATGATTCTTTTTTATGATTCATGGGATTAATCACACTAAATAAGATGCGCGTCAGTTGTCATTCGATACGACTTTCCCTGGAAACAGTTGCTGCTTTTACTAGTACTTAATTTAAGCTGTATTTTGTTTAAATAAAGATGATTTGAAATATAAATAACTAAAGGTCTATTTTCATATCATATGTGATGTAAATGATATGCATCATTATTTGTTTACTCTTGAGATAGTCTATTTTAACGTTTAGACATAAATAGTAAGGGGAAAGTCTAGCTGAGACGCTGTGAGTAAGCTAAAGTACATAAATATCATAATGCCCTCTAAGAGGCCTTTCATGTACCCTGCAACTACGCGTATTTATATTGTGACTAAGAAAAGTGACTGACTCTAAAAAACCTGTAACTTTGTTTAGTAACGTTATCACTGACTTATGTAATTTTTACGGTATTTTTAAAAGCAAATAACGCCCTCGTGAGAAAATTTAACTCTTTTCTTACAAAATGGATACATCATTAAAGTGGCAAAATTTTCCTGGCGAGATTATGGAGTTAGCTTTTGGCTATCTGGAAGAGGACAGCGATATCAAAAACTGTCGCTTGGTATGTTCCAATTGGAATACCGCCACTTTCAAGCGTGGAATCCGGGTAGCGCTGGGAAGCGCTGGTAGATGTGAAAAGCTTATAAATGATTTGGTTGTGTTCCCCCAGTTGGCTGCCAAAATTCGAAAACTATACATTAGCTATATTAACGAAGATCCTATAGACCCTGATATGTTTATCTTGGTACTAAATAAATGCACTTACATCGAGAAGCTCAGATTTTGTATAAATCAAACTGGCGAACAGTATTTGTTGGCGTTGTTCGATGAGACGCCGCATATCTCGCGTATGAAAGAAATTGCTGTTGATAACGTTAAATCCTGCTCTACACCAATTCGAATAAGCTATATGCTGATCAACTTCGCGTACCGTAATTCAATAACGGTGTTGGAAATAAGTGATGTTAGAGATGCAACATTATCTGGGATTTTCGCTGGTTGGCAAACGTGTCTCATGTCAGAATGTAGGGAAAATCCAAGATTAGCTACAGCACTTAATTTTATGGCTGAAGCCTGTCATACATTGACCGAATTCGCTTCTAAATTTCCCAAGTTAAAGTTCTTAAAAGTACAACCTGGTTTGCTTAGTGATGATATTGATATCACTGCTCTAATGGCGACAAATAATTGTACACTGGAGACATTGCATCTTTCTAGTTCTCATTGCTATTTGCATGTAAAAAAACCGTTTCATAGCTGGCCAAATACCAATCCATACAACTCGCTAACAGAACTTTATATAAGCGGACTTGGCATTTGCGCGGAAACTTTGGAATGTATCATGACATTTACAAATCTTAAAAAGCTGTTCATTAAACTGATAGTACCTTCAGCCCTTTATGAATACTCTCGTTTCAACAGAGATAAAACTCGATTATTGGTGGATCGATTTACTTCATTTTGTAATACAATTAAAAACGTTGAAGTCGATATGGCTTACGAAACATTTGCTGAAGACAATGCATTTGCCGAAAGACAGTTGGTTATTAAAGATGGTAGATCAATTGACAAGGAATATAAAGGCAGCGATTTAAGCTTATTTTTTACGAAGGCGTTCAATATCGAAGGTTATGATATTACTAATCCAATCGTAATTATTCATGACGATGATGACTATGAATGAAGATATATATATACTGAAAAAGATGCTTATAGTGATTATTGCATAAGCTTCAAGTAGTATATCTTTCAAGCCGTTTTTTTATTAATTAAATGAATAAAAACTATTTAGTAGATAGCCGACTAGAGGTTTTTGAATATGTCGTACACAATGTAAATATCTGGATCGTTACTCGTTTACGCTTGGGATTGAACTTTGGTCAAAAAAAAAAAAAAAAAATAGAAATGAGTCTAGACAAGACATTGTGGGTGATCTGAAGTCCTTACAGACAATAACATAAAATTCCCATTGTAATACCGTCGTATACGATACTGTAAGCGAAAAGCTATAACTCCTTGGAGATATTTGATGCCCGATTTGATGCTGCAACTACACTTAACTTAATTGTGTCCCTCATAGATATGTAACGTTGTTCAAACATCATCATCAAATTATGTAATTTTCACAGTACTTTTGAAAGCAAACAACGCGCTCGTGAGAAAATTCAACTCTTTTCCCGCAATGGATACATTATTAAAAGGATATCACCTCCCAAAAGAGATTATGGAGTTGATCATTGGGCATCTTGATAAGGACAACGATATTAAAAACTGTCGTCTGGTATGCTCAAATTGGAACTTCAACGTATACTCGATCTGTTTCAAGCGTGGGATTCAAGTAGCTCTGGGAAGCGCTAGTAGATGTGAAAAGCTTATGAAAGATCTGGTCGAGTTCCCTCAGATGGCTGCCAAAATTCGAAAACTATGTCTTAGCTATATTGATGAGGACCCTATAGACCCCGATATGTTTGTTTCCGTACTGGATCAATGCACCTACATTGAGAAGCTCAGATTTCGTATAAATCTAACCGGCGAACAGTATTTGCTAGCATTATTTGATAAAACACCACATATCTCACGTATAAAAGAAATCACTGTAGATAACGTGCTTTACTGTTCTAGATCAATCCAAATAAGCCATTTGCTGATCAACTTTGTATACCGTGATTCGATAACATTGCTAGAGATATGTGATGTTAGAAATGAAACGATAATAGAGAATTCCGTTAGTGGGCCAATGTATATCAGATCAGCATATACGAAAAATCCAAGATTAGCGGCAACACTTCATTCATTAAATGAAGCTTGTGAGACATTACTCGACGTCGCTTCTAAATTTTTCAACTTAAAGGTCTTGAAATTACAACTAAGTTCGCTTAGTAATAATATTGATATCACTGCTATAATGGCGACAAATATTCGTAAGCTGGAGATATTACATATTTTTGGCTCTCATTGCAGAATGGTTATTCAAGACCCCCCTAATTGGCCAAATTTCAATCTATGCAACCCTATAACAGAGCTAGATATACGCGTATACAGAATTTGCGTAAGCACTTTGGAATGTATCATGACAAAATTTTCAAATCTTGAAAAGCTGGTTATTAAAATCCCCGAACATTTGACTGATTATGAGAACTCCTCTTTTGACATAGATGAATCTCACTTATTGATGAATCAATTCACTTCATATTGCAGTACCATTAAAGATGTAGAAGTTTATATGGTTTATGAAACGTTTACTGAAGATCTTGATTTTTTCCCAAGACAATTGGTTTCTCAAGATGGTCAACTGTTTGACATGGTACACAATATCAGTTCTTGTTGCTACCATTTCAACGCACACCTTAATATGAGTGCGCTTAGTATCAATGACTATGATTTGGCTGATCAAAACCTATATATTCATGGTGATGGCGACGTTGAATGAAAACATACTAGACTGAAAAAAAAAGCTTATCGATTATAACTCGATACTAACATTCCTGAGAATGACTCTTGCATAGGCTTTTAGTAGTACTTATTACAAGCTGTTTATTATTAAATAAAAGGCAATTTTTTTTTATATCGAAGACATAGATAAGCAAAAATCCTAAAAATATAATTAGGTATTAATTCCAATCCATCTATCAAATTACTCGCGCAAAGTCCTATTTATGTAATCCATTTCTAAACATTAAAAGAGTACGGTTTGGCTAAATGAGATCTTTGGTAACATTACGCTTTGTCTAAGAGGTTATTTGGTTTTCTCGATTAACTGTAAGAGCATGCATGAATTCGTTTCAAAACTATAAACACAGTAAACGCAAATGATCCTTGTGCTTTTTTTCGGCTGATCTAATTGGCCGAAACCTAAATTGCTTACGTCAGTTTTAGAGGCTTTTTATACAAAAGACGTTTTTTGATTTATCATGTAAACTTTCTTTGTTATAGAGAGACAGATCATTGATCCCTTTTATAGAATGTCTTATATTAGAGAGGTGTTATTATTGAAATATATATCCCTGTTCTAGTATAATACAGAAAGTTCTGTTTTCCAAAAGATTGGTGTTAGAGTAGTACCTTGTGTGGATCTTAATATCGTGTTTTATACTAGTGTTGCCTTCTTTTAAAGGAAGCCAGCATAAGCTGCATGATGCTAATAGTAATTGATCAAATCAAAATTTTCTCGGTTGTTTTGTACTGAATTTGCAAAAAGCGCTTTGGGTTAAGTGGGAAACGGGCTAATATAAAATGACATGCTACACGCTTATGGGTTTAGTAAAAAAAAAAAAAAAAAGTGTAGACGGAGTATTAAAAACAGGGTGGGGGGGGGGCCTAATAAGTTTTTTTCTGCGTGGCCTTTTTTTTTTGTTTGCCCTGGTGTAAAAGCAGAAGTGCACCCCCGGATGGATGAACAGTCACCCAAGGCCAACGCGGTCTTTCAACCCAGCTATTTTTTTTTTTTGGCTCTACAACAGCCCCAGTTTTGTTTTGATTTTTTATTTTTCTTTTTTTCAACCCCTCTCCCCCCATTACCCTAATGTTGAGAAACGCTACTCGTCTTGCACGTCCTACCTTGGCTGCTTTTGCCAAGTCTACTCCTGCAGTAAATAGATATAGAAAGAAGAATACTGAAAATAATAATAATGATTGTTAACCCCATGTTATTATTAGCGTCTTAACCTTGGAGCTGCCTCCATTGCTTTAAGAACTTATGCTTCTGCCAAGCCTTCCACCTCTGAAGTCTCTTCCATTCTTGAACAACGTATTCTCGGTGCCAACTCCGAGGTCGATCTTCAAGAAACTGGTCGTGTCTTGTCCATTGGTGATGGTATTGCTCGTGTTTATGGTTTGAAGAACTGTCAAGCCGAAGAGATGGTTGAATTCTCCAGCGGTCTCAAGGTAAAAGTTATAATCGAGTTTAAGAGAAAAACAATGTATTAAAACCATTTATTTATTAGGGTATGGCTCTTAACTTGGAAGCCGATAATGTCGGTATTGTCGTTTTCGGTAACGATCGTTTGATTAAGGAAGGTGATACCGTTAAGCGTACTGGTGCTATTGTCGATGTCCCAATTGGTCCCGGTATCCTTGGTCGTGTCGTTGATGCCCTTGGTAACCCCATTGATGGTAAGGGTCCTCTTGACACCGTTGGTCGCTCTCGTGTCCAAGTTAAGGCTCCTGGTATTTTACCTCGTCACTCCGTTAACGAGCCTATGCAAACTGGTATCAAGTCTGTTGATTCCATGGTCCCCATTGGTCGTGGTCAACGTGAGTTGATTATTGGTGATCGTCAAACCGGTAAGACTGCTGTCGCTCTCGATACCATTCTTAACCAAAAGAACTGGAACAACGGTTCTGATGAAGCCAAGAAGTTGTACTGTATCTACGTTGCTGTCGGTCAAAAGCGTTCTACTGTTGCCCAATTGGTCCGTACTCTCGAAGAGAACGGTAAGTTTAGATATTACATAATGGAAAGCCTAGTTAACTAACTTGCATTGATAAATAGATGCCATGAAGTACACCATTGTCGTTGCTGCCACTGCCTCTGAAGCTGCTCCTCTTCAATACCTTGCTCCTTTCTCCGGTGCTGCCTTCGGTGAATGGTTCCGTGACAACGGTCGTCACTCTTTGATCATTTACGATGATTTGTCCAAGCAAGCTGTTGCTTACCGTCAAATGTCTCTCTTGCTCCGTCGTCCTCCTGGTCGTGAAGCTTACCCTGGTGATGTTTTCTATCTCCATTCTCGTCTTTTGGAACGTGCTGCCAAGATGAACAAGGCTTTCGGTTATGGTTCCATGACTGCCCTTCCCATTATTGAAACTCAAGGTGGTGATGTCTCTGCTTATATTCCCACTAACGTTATTTCCATTACTGATGGTCAAATTTTCTTGGAAGCCGAACTTTTCTTCAAGGGTATCCGTCCCGCTATTAACGTTGGTCTTTCCGTCTCTCGTGTCGGTTCTGCTGCCCAAACCAAGGCTATGAAGCAAGTTGCTGGTTCCATGAAGCTTTTCTTGGCCCAATATCGTGAAGTTGCCGCTTTCGCTCAATTCGGTTCTGATTTGGATGCTTCCACTCAATTCTTGTTAAACCGTGGTGCCCGTCTCACTGAATTGCTCAAGCAACCTCAATACTCTCCCTTGTCTATTCAAGCTCAAGTTCCCATCATCTTTGCTGGTGTTAACGGTTACCTTGATAAGATCCCCGTCGGTAAGGTCGTTGAGTGGGAAAAGGATTTCATTAGCCACGTTGCTACCCAACATCCCGAAGTCCTCGAGGAAATCCGTGCCAAGGGTGTCCTCTCCAAGGAACTCGAGACCAAGCTCCGTGAAGTCTGTGATAACCATGCCAAGGGTTTCTATTAAATCTAACCAATCTTATTTTTTTGAACATGCCCCCTTTTCACCCATCCTCTCTTCATGCCCTCCCACACTTCACCTCAAACTTTCGTAACTCTTTGCTTTTGAAACACACCAACTAAAAAATGCTCTAAATTACCTTTTAATTAAAAAAAAATTATACAAAAAAGAGAAACATACATATTTCTAAATTATTGGTTTTATTATTATTTCTCTAATGAAGTAGTATCAAATGCTCTGCACTTGTTCTTGAATACTTGTAAAGTACGGTCTCTGATGATTTCCTCAACATATCTTTCGTTAGAAATGGATTGACGCTACAGATAATTATCATTAGTTTTTTTTTTCCTAGTGTGTCTACAAAAAAAAAAAAGGGTAGTTCTTACCACAGACTCTTGTGTAAAGATACTGTTCTTGACTTCGAAATCGTCAGGATCTTCTTGTAATTTTCTGTTCTTCTTGTCAAGATCCTCGTCCATTAACTAAAGAATATAGGTATAAGAATGGTGCACGTGGTAGAGCTATTAGGTATTTTTTTTACCTTAAGACAATAATTGATAGCCTCGTCACGCTTAGCATAGGCTTCTGTCATTTGCTTAAAGAAATCGCTACAGACTCCTTCGGCGTGTGTTCCATTGCTATTGAGTCTGTTGATTACATTATCGTCAACTCTACGCAACTCCTTCATGAAGTCTATTCCGAGAGCATTTAGCGTGGGACTATTGTTATTTATATCGACTTACCTTTGAAGAAGGAGAAGTTGAAGCAGGTGGCAGGGCTGAGTTCTTTGGAGGACATTTGTGAAAGAGAAAGAAAATAAAAAAGGTTTTTTTTTTTTTGGTCGTATGTCAGGCAAGGGTAGGCAGGTAGGGCAGACAGGCAGCGGAAATTCAATCTAAACAAATCTTGCTTTTTTTTGCATTGATGCCTTTTTAAAGACTGGCATATCAATTGCAAGAGATCGTGGCGTGCTGTGAAGCTTGGATAAGAAGATCATAGCACCGGTAACAGCTTTATTTCTATCGCGACAATTAAACAATGAAAGAGTGAAAGGGTTATTTCGTCTAGGCCATAATAAACGCGTCACGTAGGGTATAGTGCTTTTGAGTGAACAGCATATAAAAAAAAATTAAGGGCATCTTTTTTTATTTTCTTTATACGATGAGTGCCATGGATATTTCAGACGATTCCAATAATCCTACTATTGTCTCCAATGCACAAAGTAGTTCAGGACTTTCAATATCAGTGTAAGAGAAATTATAAAAGGGGTGGAGGGAAGCATGCGCATTCCTCATTAAAAAGCTAAAGCGTTTTAGAATAGTCATCCTTTAGTGTTGCTGAATATTTCTGATCACTATACACGTACAAAGCTACAGACGCCCGCGGCTATCGAGAATGGTAAAAAATAAAATAAACATAGCCCAATGGAAATAAGAATGTAATGTTAAGGTTTGAAACAGGTAGAATGTATGGTGCCTTGCTCGCTTCCCAATCAGGTCGAGACATTGATATCGTTAATTCATTTGATCTTCCATTAGCCACTGAGGGTAAAGATAATGTTGTTCTCGATGTCACGTTTTTATCTTACAAGCTAGACCAATGTAAGTGAGCATTCGACAAGTAATCTTTTGATATATTGACAGCTTTCTGTTGGGGCTAAATAGTGAAGCAAGTGTTCCCCACACTTGATTTTATGGGCTGGTATTCACTCGGAACCACACCTACCGAAGCCGATCTTAAACTTCACGAGCAGGTTAGAATGAATGGAAAGTAAAATAGATCTGAGGTGTTTTAACTGATAAAACAATGGATAGTTTCTTCGAGTCAACGAGTCAGCCTTGTTTTTACAGATGGATCCAAACGCGTTAACAGGCGGAGAAAGAGAATTCCCAGTAGACATTTACGAATCCATCATTGACATAGTAGATGAAAGTGTGCGACCTGTTTTTATCAAATCCACGTATAAGGTTGAGACGGGCGAGGCGGAATGTATTGCTGTGGATCATGTGGCCAAACCTAGTTCTTCCAGCAAAGACACAGGATTAGGAAGCACTTGTAAGTCATCTGAGGATTTGTTGGGGGGTTCGGATTTGATTTATTAACCTTTTTATGTATTAATCAAGTGATTGCTCACTTGACCACGCAGAGAAACGCTATCGCTATGTTAAATTCAAGAATTCAATTCCTTTATCAATATTTACAGGATACCAAATCTGGCGTAATACCCGTCGACCATGATATCATCCGTCAGATATCCAGTCTTTGTAGAAGATCGCCTATATTAGAGAAAAAGGCATTTGATGACCAATTCTCTACAGTAAGTGTTTGATGTGTATATATAAAATTCACGGCCCCCCACAAACTAATAAACACACTTCATATAGGAGTACAATGATGTACTTTTAGTAGCTTATCTTGCATCCATCACAAAAGGGTTAAATACTGTAAATGACCTTGTGGACAAGTTTAACCTTGTTAATGGCGGAAATGGGTCTTCTCAAAACAAACCCATATCAGTCAGCAGAAAAGGAAGAGTAAGTGTGTTTCTATCTATACTATGCATCATGTATTAAATGTATCATTTGTTTTTAGCGTATGAATACCTCAAGACATTAAATAAAAAGTTTAAAATGAAGTTTATTATCAAATGGGTTAAGAATATGGTATAAAGAAAGGAAAAAAAGAAGAGGGGGTATTAAGAGGATGTGTTAAAATTCTATGTTGAAAGAAGTAAGAAATATACAAATGCGTGTTTGGGGGGATAAGGTGAAGTTTAAAATGGGGGTATTTATCCTTTCAAGGTAGCCGAGATAGAAAAGAACATGACACCGAAGCCCCAAACAATCAGCAAACCAGCTGCCAAGTCTAAAAACCAATGAGGCTCCAAAGATCTATCCATAGACATATCGTTTTCGCCACACAAATCATCGCCACCATCAACAGTGGCTACATCATCATCAAAGATCAAGTTGCGAGAGCTAGAAGAGATGGAAGTGGTTTCCCATAAGAGGGGAGCCTTCATATCATTCTCATCAGCTGTTAAAGTATCGGTAGCAGTCAAAGTAGGGAATACCATCAAGTTGCTAAGCTTGCTAATGGCCGTCTCGGAAGAGTCTTCAGATTCAACCATTTTGTCGGTGTATGTGCGACGCGTGACAAGATAAGCACAAGCAGGAATAATGTAAGCCAATGTTGTGGCAGAGAATCCACCGACAAGCGCATAAACAGTTCCGAGAGAACGTACCGCAATGGCGAGACCCAAAACAATGGTAAACACACCCACAGTTACTGCATAATGTTGAGTATTGGAAGGCTGCTTGGTGGCGGTTTCAAAGCCTAATGATTTTTGAACGGCTTCACGTGTAGGAAAGATGCCCATGGGAATGGTCAGGATCATGCTGATAGAAAGAGCAAAACGACCGATATTTACAATTGGGTCATCTGCAGCAAAGTTCATAAAGAGATTGGAGTGAACCTTATCACCAAAGCACAAGTAACCAATAACAGCAAAGGTCATAGAAATCATCCAGCTAATACCGGTAGATAAGATTGTGGTGTGCTTCCAGCTGGAAGTAGCTTGGTCTTCCAAAGTCAAGTAGTTATTGAAGGCAACTTGGTGACAAGTAAATGCAAATGCCATAATACCGAGGGCACCAAAGACATCATCACCAATGAATTCCAATGGGATAGATTCTTTAGGAGCGTAAGCGGGTGCTCTGATTAAAATGGCTAAAAGAATAACGGGTAAACAAAGGACAGAAATGATGGACCAACGAGCTAAAGAACCAATCGATCTTGACATGTTTAAAGGTAAAATCTATAAATGCAGAGACATGTTTAGTTGATAAATTTAATAAATGATAATAAAAAGAAACTCACACAAAAGATTCCAACGAATACTAAAATAAATGTACGATCGGCTAAAATGGGGAATTGAGGCAAATAACGACTGAATAACATGGGAAGACTATCACCCAGCAGGATGAAATAACTGACTGTTCCTCCGCCTGCTTGTACACAAATCATAAAGTTTACGAAATAAAAGCCGGGTCTGCCTAATAAGTATTCGACTAATCCAGCGAATTTATAAATGCCAACTCTTTGACCAGCAACAATCAACATGTATAAGCCGATTTGAGCCAAAACAGCTACGACAATCGATGCCATAATACCGGTAAAGAAACCAGCACGAGCAATGGCAAATGGTAATCCAATAATTCCTGCGCCCACTGTGGCATTCACCAAGTTAAAGGCGACTTCTGTCTTTGTGCGTGATCCATATCCAGGTCTATCGGATTGTAATAAATCTCTTTCGGCTGTTGTTAATTGATATGCTTTTAATGGTGGCGATATAGAACCGTATTTGTTAGAGGACATTTGTTCGAGCAGTAATAGTGATAAAAAAGAAAAAGAAAATGATAATAAAAAAAAAAAAAGATTGAAATGACGAGATTTTATACCAAAAGATCAGAATTAGGGGGTTAGTTGCCTTTTAAAGTAGTGATTAGAACACAATGTATTATTGTCGCTCGTTATTTTACTTAATTTTTTTTTACGCATGATCGACAAGCTCTCAATCATTAATCAGTGTTCAGTTATCATGTGCCACCCGTATCAACCTTAATAGTAAAAAAAACAGCATGCAGAAGAGGGGATGTATCGGCATGACCAAAAGGGAAGTGCAGAATTGGATCTAATTAAGTAAAAAAAAAAGCGGAACCTATCAAATTATATAACGATTTCGACAGCAATGATCAAATCTACGAATGCTTTTGATTGGCTGAAAATCAATAGATTCCTCAAAAACTTCATCCTCACCCCTTTAAAAAATGCATAGCACAACCCGAGCTCTCCTTTTGAAAAGCGATAGAAAACGACCATAGAGTCTCTAAGGGCTTCGGTATTCTTCCCTCCGAGACCTTTTTCTTGCTGAAAAATGACAGGTGATCAGCAACATACACAATTGGTGAATGTTGATAACGCTTCTCCACGTGCCCTCTCATTTTTATTTATTATTTTTTACATGTCACACGTTATATTATATTGCTATTGACATACTTTTTTGTGTATACGTATGTAATCTATTGTTCCTTATTTTCTCTTTGTTATCACAAGATATCCTTATCTTGTCCCTGACGATAATTAAAAATAGCATTCATATAAGGGGATTTTATCATCCATTATAGGAGGTACTTCTAATAAAGTGGCGACACGTCTTTCTCATTTATTATTCTCGTGTTTTTAATTAGAAAGAAGCACTTGACTTTTTTCGTTGTTATGCCAACCCCACTGCAATTTTTATCTTGCGTTTTATTATGTGTAAATTTGTCAATGAAATTGTGTGTATTTTTAGGAGAATTTAAGCCCTAAAATTACGTCACATTAAAGTCTATACTTCCCACATTCAATAAAAAAGCCCCCATGTTACACTGTATAGAAAAAAATGGATGCTTTTTTCGCTTATCTTTCCGCTGAGAATGATGTGACTTTAATAACCATATACCTTGTTTTTCATTTTAAATCATTCTGTATTTTTTTTACATACAATTTCATATCACAGGCCATTTATTAATGTCTATTCCAGCATTAATTCAGGTTGAAGCTCCGAGGGAAAAAAATAAGATGATCTATAGGTAATCTCATCTTTTTCCCCTCAGCGAAAAAAAAGTGCAATAAAATATAAAAAAGGCATTTTAGGATGGATTTGGGGTGTAGAATATGTTCCCGCTTTTTAAGGTTTGTTTTTGTGTGGTAGAAAATAAAAAGAGAGACTAGGAATTGTAATTGGTTCAACCCTGTCTCATAAAAAACATGTTTACACAAGAAGGGGTTTTTATCATCCTTACTACTACTTGGCCCTTTGTATGTGGACTCCCCTTAGATTTTTTTTTCATAGTAAAGCATATGAGAAGGCTATGGCCAATAAAACATGTCAAAACGTGCTTTCAGGAACACAGGCTTGGCATTCTGCTATTGACAATCACATTCTATAAACGTTGCATATCATTATGTGAGCACTGTTTTGATTGGATGAGCTTATATGGTGCTATAATTTTAAAATGTAGCATAAATCTGCGTTATTTTATAAAGAATTGGCCTCTCATATAGTCTACACTAGCGTTCGATTTGAGAATTGAAACTGCTAGGCGAGTTTCCAAGATCCCTCGAGTTTTCGGGATAGAAATTACATGCGAATAAGCCTAAACACATAGGAAACGCTCTTTTTTTTCAAAAAAAAAAAAAAAAGCATTCATTATAATATAAATTCTTGTAAATAGTCACTGGTAGATTAACATATATCAAATGCTGAACTCAGTAGTTGTTACCAGTAGTGATTTTAGCAGTAATATGTACCAAATGGTGAGGCATATTTTACGAGTAAAACATTCAGGTTTTTAGCCTGAAATAACAAAACTCTAAAAGTGATCCTTTTAGTTTTTGTTTATAAATCATCCCCCTTCGTAATTCTGTTGAAAGAAGCCTTTTTTTTTTATTGTTTTTGCTACGCTATTTGTGGATCTTGACCATAATTGATATTTATATGGTGCAAATTTGAACTTCTGTATATGAATACGCCTGTTTTCTAGTATCTGAAGGCTCAAACATATGGATGATCAAATATACAATTAAATCATCCTGACGTAAGCTAGCTCTTGTTTATCAGTTTATGAATAACACTCACTTCTGATTAAATAGACAATTGAATCATCCTGATGTATACGAAGGCTTTTTTATCAGTCTATAAATAAAAACCATTCAAACATTTTTTCCTTCCCTTCTTCTCTTCATTTTTTTCTTTTTTATTCTTATACTGTGTAACACCATCTTTTTAAAGCGAAGTATTAAATATTGGGAAAAGGTTAGTTAACAACAACTTTTGTTTTCTATAAAAACACTAAAATATTAGATAGTTATCTTTTTTTTTTTTTTTTTTTTTTTTTAAAAAAAAAAAAAAAGAATAGACTCCCATTTTTATTATCACGGCTAGAGCTAGACTTCTCGATATGATGAAAACTTGTCCATTACTCGTTGCAGGCATTGTAAGCCTGTATCTTACATTACCAACCACGGTGGGTCAAAATATACAGTAGCATCAAAGAAATTGCTACAGACCTCATATTATCCCAGAACAAAGCCAGAATATGTATATGCCAGCGAAGAACTGTTGAATGATGAAAGAATTTTCTTCGATGTTATACAACAAAAAGGGGAGGTGGTTATGGAGAAAAATAAAATAGCAGTATTAGGGGTTTAAATTCTTCTTCTACAATAATGTAATCCATGGCCTCTTCACCATCTTCTGTAGTTATTCCGCCTTGACCGTCTTCAATAAAAAAAAATCTATACGCATTGCCCATTTAAATATATTTAAAATAACATTCCAAATGGGTAAATATCCTATAAATTTGTCTTTCATTGTAAACTCCAGAATAGAGTAAGATGAAAAGAGAATAATAAAAAAAAAGATGAGACAATCCTTGGTGTTGTACAAAGCCTTAAAAAACACAATTGGTTTCATGCTGCAGCAGAAGACAACTAAAATAATTAAAATCGGATATATATATGTTAACATTAATTTAACAATAAAGGTATTTACTTTGAATAAAGATTAATTTCCCCGAAAATAGAAGCCTTTTGTTTATTTATTTCTTTTGCGATAGTTAAATTTCATCATTAGTAGTGGGAAAAGGCAATGTTGATTATGAAACATGTGCTGGTAAACGATAAATGTATATGCCATGTTCTTGACTCATGTGGTAAATGTATGAGAGTCTGTGAATAAATATCCTATCACATGCGGTACAATAATTTTTTTTGTTATGCTCGTTTGGTAATATACTGATCTGCGATTTTCCTAAATACGATTGACCTTTTGAATTCAGTTTGTAACTACCAATTTGTCGGAAATTGTAATAAATATCCAAATGCGACCAATAAGCGGAATTGGACCTATATGTGTTTTTACAACCAATGCACTGTCTATTCTCATCCTCAATGATGGGGATGGTATTTAAATGGGGATCATACGGTCCTTTTGTGTAGTCCACATTATAAAAATTTGTTAAATGCATATGATACATCGCCTCCGTTTTGAATGACTTTTTACATCCAAAACATTGATAATTTATATCATTGACATCAGGAATCGTGTTTACATGTGGATCACGCTTTTTTACGGCGGGGCAATGATTACGTCGCAAATGGAGTCGCAGAAAGTACGTACATTCGAATGCTTCTTCGCAATATGTGCAACTAGTTTTGAAGTTTTCAGTAACGTTGATGATATTTTTGTATTTGCTCTTTAAATGTTCATAATACTTGGTCCTGTTCGTGAATCTCTTTCCGGATCCAATACACTCATTATTTGTATAATCGATAGAAGGCACTGTATCCAAATGAGGATCATAATAGGCTGGTATGATATCTGCTCCGTAACTACGACGTAAATGCGCAAAGTAATTAATTCTGGTTTCGAATTGTTTCTTGCATCCAATACATTGTTTGTTTACATCATTGATATCAGGCACTGTGTTGAAATGTGGATCTATTTCATCGATAGGTGTCAAAGCTTTTGAACCATACTTTGTCAAGATATGACTACGATAATCATCCTTGGTATTAAATGTCCTTTTACAACCAGTACATTGGTTATTATCATTGTCAAGATTGGGTACCGTATTGATATGCGGATCACCTTCGTTTAAAACCACTGCACTAGATCCGATAACTGAATTATCGCATGTTATTCGTTCACCATTTTCGTCATGTGCGTCAGTAACTATGAGTGTGTCTGTGCTGGAATGGCCAACAAATAAATCAGGGGAAACCTGTGCTTGATGGGTAATAAGCAAATGTTGATAAAATTCTTGGGTGTCATAAAAGGTTCTTTCGCACACAGAGCAACAGCAATTTTCGTCAGTGACAGTTGGTATATATTTTGTTTGTGGATCGGAAACCTCCGCATCGGGGAAACGCTCTGGGCCATACATAAAAAGCAAGTGGGATCGGTATGTTTGTGTGCTATCAAAAGTTATCTTGCAAGCGCTGCATTGATTATTTTCATCATAAAAATCCGGTGTCGTGGAACCGGCATGTGCTTGGGCTGTTGGGACAAATTTAGGTCCATAGTGTACACGCTTGCGATGTGAGACCAAATACCGTAATTTAGACAAGCGTACGCCACATATCTTGCAATAAAGACAAGTGTTTGTTACAGACTCCATTCGATGGGCTCTCCGCAAGTGTATACGGTACGTGTTCATGTTTTGATAAGTGCGGTTACATACATTGCAGTAGCGGTTAACCTCGTCTATGATTGGTTGGAAATCTGAATTCTGTTCGCGTGCAGCAGGATAACCGATGATGTTGTGAACACGCTTTAAGTGACTTGAGTAGGACGATCTTGAACAACATTCTTTCTTACAGGAAAAACAGTATAAATTCTCTCTGTTTAAGAGACGCGGGATTCTGGTTCCATTGATACCGTGACAAGGTTCCAAGTGCATGTTCAACTGCTGCCAATCAATAAAGGTCAGCTTACATACGTTACACTCTAAATTATCAGACTTGCCCCCTAAAATGATTATATGTGGTTTAGTGAAAAGGTTCACGCTATGAACATTAGCAAACAGACTTCTCTTTTTTCTTTTTTTACCTCTCACTGATTCGGGCAATGCAAGTTTGAAATCCTGGTACAGTGGTTCTATCAGAATTCCGCGTGCAGAACGAGTCACTGACAGCAAATTCAAGGATGACTTGTCGTCTTCCTCTAGTTTGACAATTGAATTGCCCAAGGTTACAGCTGCATGAGTTTGTGATGTTGTCTTGATTGGCCATGGTAATAACTTTTTTAATTTACGGGTTCGTCGTGATTTAGATTTGAGTTTCATTGCGTTAAATAGAAAGAAAAAAAAAAAAAAGCGTTGGTGTAACTAAGGTTTTACGCATTGTTATACACTATTTTCATAAATTAGTCGTGCACGCTTAGAATAAAATTTCTCCATGTATATTCTACAAACCAAATGAACGAAAGAGAAATATATCTGTTATCATTAAATGGTATACTGCTAAAGTAGAAGGAAAATGTTTCATAATAATGAAGGACCCGGATGAGTACCCTATTGTATGCGTATAATATAACTTTCATTTAGAGTCACTTCATCCAAAAGACTAACCTACTAGTTCTTCAAATAAAACAACGATTATAATTTGAATGATTTATGAACCTACTTTCCACTTTCTTGTATTTTTTGTTTGCTACTATTATCGTCTATGGTCTCTTTAATTTTTCTTTCCCTTCTTCTGTTCTTCTTTGTGTTCTTTGGCTTTCTTTTGTTATATTTTCTACCACCGTCTAATAAAATGTCTGTTATTTCTTCTCTTGCTCTTTGAACACCTTGGTACAGATAGAAGCGGTATTTTATCGTTATACAACCATTGAATTCGAATATCCTGTTGAGATTTAGTAGAATGTAAGTAATATAATGAAGATATGTAGATGTATTCACTGTTTTTGCGGTTGGTGTATTTAGCAAAGCATCACCTATTACCTCAGCAACCGTCCTTTCCATTTTTTTTATATATTTTTTTGATCCTGCATAAGTGTAATATTCTTTGGTAAAGCATCTCCTAAGCTGATGATCATTTTCCTCATCACCATAAGAGGCAGAAAGTACTTGATTACGGTTTGGGTCTATTGCGCTAAGTAAGACAGTGTTCAAATCTTCACTTTTCAGAATGTCTGCAAGTAGGGTTATCAGGACTTCTTGATCAGAATAATGAGCGAAGTCCTCTTAATCGGTTTGCAAACTTTTATGAGTAATAACATCAGCGGTACAGCCGTCTATTCTAATTAAGTTTGAAAAAGCAAACTTTTCCTTCTTGTCTGGATCTTGAAGTGTTTGAAAGCTAATATGCCCAAAACATTTATTGGTAATAATTTGTCAGGTACTGTAGCTGTCAAATGTGTTCAAGTTTTTTACCTGCTTAATCTGAGTCTTTTAAAATCAAAAACCTTGCTAAACATGAAATGTTTATCTTTGTGAGCGTTTTAAGAGTTTTATACCAATGAAAGTTGAAACCGAGTGATATGAACCTCCACTTTAATGAAGGCACAGGAAATAAAAAGTACAAGCGTCGGAGTATTTGTCGTATTTCTTTATCGTCTTTATCTTGTTTTCTTTGACCCGCTATTCCTCTTCGTATAAATCTTTGTCCAAAAAAAAAAAAAAAAAAAGACTAAAACAATTCAAATGGTCTAACTAATAACCGAGCTTATTTTACAAATGTTTAAGAATCCTAAGACTAAATGGTAACGGTTAATGCAAAATTAGCCAGAATAAAGTAACTATCAATTTCAGCTCAAATATAACCTTCTTTTGTTATAGATAAAACTAAAATATTCTGAACTCGGAAGGAAGAGAGTTCATTTTGTTTATTAATTGGTTTTCCAGTGGTTATTTTTCTCCTTCTTATGAACCATGAAGTTGATTTATGTGGTGAAGGTACGAGTCCCTGTAAATGAATATTCTATCACATGCAGCACAATAGTTTTTTTCATCATCTTCGTTTCGCACCACGTTGACATGTGGATCATCATTTGTATTTTCACATTTCGGTTTCAAATTGTATTTATTTACCAAATGCATCCAAAACCTCCAATCCTCGTTGTATACCATTTTGCAAGCGAAACATTTCCTATTTTTGCTATGGAGATCAGGCATGGTATTTAGATGAGGATCATCTGGACCTCTTGTAGTGTCTAGATTATAGTTTCTTGTTAAATGACGGTGGTAATCAGACAACTCATGGAAAGTCTTTTTACAGCCAATACATTGACGGTTTTTATCTCTGACATTCGGCACCGTGTTAGTATGTTGATTATACCGATTGATTGAAGCGGCACACGGACTATATCGCAAATGGAATCGATGAAGGTTGTAAGAACCGAATTGTGTACTACACCGATCGCATTCGAACTTCACAATTTCTGCCTTCTTGCTTATGTCTTTGTCACTGCTTTCCAAAACATTGTAATTGTTTTTCAAATCATTATAATTGCGTTCCAAGTGATCATGAAAACGGGCTTTGCCCATAAATTTCATTCCGCATCCAATGCATTGATAGCTTTTATCATTTAAATTTGGCACTGTATTCAAATGAAAATCAAAGGAGGCTGGGAGGATATGGTTTCCATAGATATGACGTAAATGCGCAAAATAACTGTTTCTGGTATCGAAGATTTTTTTGCATCCTATACATTGTTTGTTCGTATCATTGATAACAGGTACTGTGTTTAAGTGTGGATCTTTTTCATTCATGCCGGTAAACACTTTTGAACCATACTTTGCCAGCAAATGACGTACATAATTAGTCTTAGTACGAAATGTAAATTTACATACAGTACATTTGTTGTCTTCATTGTCAAGATCAGGAAAACTTTTGGCATGCGGATCATCCTTACTTAAAAATGGAGTCCCAGACTTGATAGCAGAGATTTTACATACAGCACATTCACATATGGTGTCAGTATCTTCGAATGGGTCTGCAAAGGACTGAAGTTCATTAAATAGTTTGTTGATGACTCGCCGGCAGTAATGATAACATAAATGATGATAATATGCTTCAGTGCTATGAAATTTTGTCTTGCACCCAGAGCAGTAGCAATTTATGTCGATAGCAGTGACTACATTGTCTATGTGCGGATCGAATATACCAGGAGCGTTATCAACATCCAAGCCAAGACGATTTGATCCATAAATAAAAATCAAATGATCTTGGTATGATTGTGTGTTGTGGAATGATACTTCGCAAGCGCTACATCGATTATTTTTATCGTGAAAATCCGGTGTCGTAATACCAGCATGTGCCTGAACTGTAGGAGAAAGCTTAGGTCCGTAATGTTCACGTATACAATGATGGGCCCAAATGATTTTTGAGGAGAAGAGTCGGCCACATATATTGCAACTATAATTCCCAGGTTTTCGTTCCCTAGAGTGCTCATTAATTTTATGAATTCTCTTCATATGTCCACGATAAATGGGAATAGACTTGTAAGTTTTATGACATATATTGCAGTAGAGAGTACGTTCATCTATGATTGGGGGGAGATCTCGGTTGGATTTGTATTGTGCAGGAACTTGGCTAGTAAGGAGGTGGGTGATCCTTAAGTGTCTTGAGTAGTCCCTTCTGCCAGTAAATTTTATCTGACAGGAATGACATTTTAAGTTTAGTCTGCCTAAGGGTGATGGCGTTTTGAGGTCATTAACATCGTGACAAGGCTCCATGTGCATGGCCAACTGCTCCAAATTAACAAAGGTTAACCTACATAGATTACACTCTGTATTGTCACCGCTGTTCTCTGAAGCGAGTGTTTGCAGTTGATTAGAGTGGTTCGCACTTCAAATTGCTTTTTTCAAGTTTACCTTCATCTAAATCAGACAGTAGATCTTTAGAATCTTGATCTAACGGTTCTCTCTTTATAGTCACGCGTCGAGAACTTGTCACTTGGCGCAAAGGTATGAAGGCCTTGCTGTCCTCTTCTAATTTTATAGGAACATCTTCTGATGTTTTACTGACGCGAGATCGGGATCTAGTCTTGACCTGCGGTTGTATTGGTTTTTGTAATTTATTGATTTGTCGTGGTGTTGACTTGATTTTCATTGCTCTTCAAGAAAAAAAGACGCTGGTGTGACTCAAAAATTAAGTTTCTTAAATCGGGCTGTAAATATCTATATCATTATGCTAGAGACGACCCTTCTTCTGAACGTGACAATAACCTTGAAAGAACATTCGGATGAAAATGAATGTATACTAAGTATCTTAGAATTTGGGTACAGGGTATATGACTTTTTAAAAGTCTTTGATAGCTCTTAAAAAATCCATAGCTAAGAAAGAAAAAATGGGCATACACGAAACAAGTTAACACATGAACAATGAATAAATATTGCTTTAAAGCTTAAAGTATTTTAATCAATTATCAACATGGATATCCTGAGTACTGATAAAACATTGTATAGACAACAGATCATAGCATTTATTTTTATAAATCATTGTATAATTTTTCCGTAGCTGCAAATGATGTTACAAGGCTAACAGCCCTCACTATTAAAAGAGTAGCATATTAGTACTCAACTTTTGAATCTTTTAAAATCGGTGCAGCACTAACATGTTTTATTATTTCGTTTTGAAATAGTTAATTTTGTTTGACATGTGGACCATGTATTTGAATTATGTGGCGAATGTACGAGCTCCTGTAAATGAATACCCTATCACAACCAGCACAATAGTTTTTTTCATCATTCTCCATTGATATGTTCTCCAAATTATTTTCACGTTTCGGTTGCAAATTGTATTTACCTACCAAATGTAACCACAACTTATAAGCACTAGTGTACGTCTTCCTACAGCCAGAACATTGCCTAGTGTTGCTATGGAGATCAGGTATAGTATTCAGATGAGAATCCCTTACGCCTATTGTGCTGTCCAGATTGTAGTTTTCTGTTAAATGATGATAATAATGAAACTTCGAATCGAATTTCTTTTTACAGCCAATACATTGAAGGTTTTTATCTCTGACATTCGGCACCGTGTTATTATGTTGATTAGACCGATTGGTTGAAGCGGCACACGGACTATATCGCAAATGGAATCGATGAAGGTTGTAGGAACCGAATTGCGTATTACACCGATTGCATTCGAACTTCACAATTTCTGCCTTCTTGCTTATGTCTTTGTAACTGCTTTTCAAATGCTTATGAAAACGGGTCGTATTCCAAAAATTCTTTCCGCATCCAATGCATTGATAGCTTTTATCATCGAAATTCGGCACTGTATTCAAATGAAGATTTAAGGAGTCTGGGATGATACAATATCCATATATATGACGTAAATGCGCAAAATAACTATTTCTGGTATCGAATATCTTTTTGCATCCTAAACATTGTTTGTTTGGATCATTTATATCAGGTGCTGTGTTTAAATGTGGATCTTTTTCATTCATGCCGGTAAACGCTTTTGAGCCATACTTCGTCAGCAGATGAATTATAAAATTGTTCTTACTACCAAATGTAATTTCACATACAGTACATTTGTTGTCTTCATTGTCGAGAACAGGTAAGCTTTTGGCATGCGGATCATCCTTACTTAAAACTACAGCCCCAGACTTGATAGCTGAGATTTCGCAAATAGCATATTTACACTGGTCGTTAGTAACCACACCAGAATAATGATCATCATACAAACGAGTTACAGCACGAGGGCAATAATGACACAATAAATGACGATAATATTCTCCAGTGCCATTAAAATTTGTGTTGCACACAGAGCAGTAGCAATTTTTGTCGATAGCAGTAAGCGTATTGTTAGCATGCGGATCAAATATCCCAGTAGCGCCATCGACATCCAAGCCAAGACACTTTGATCCAAATAAAAATCAAATGATCTTGGTACGATTGTGTATTGTGGAATAATACTTTGCAAGCGCTGCATCGATTACTTTTATCGTATAAATCCGGTGTCGTAGTACCAGCATGTGCCTGAACTGTAGGATTAAACCTAAATCCGTAATGCGCAATCTTACAATGAGAGGTCCGAACGAGTTTTGAAGCGAAGAGTCGGCCACATATATTACAACTATGATCCCCAGGTTTTCTTTTTATAGGCTTTTTACCCATTTTATGAATTCTCTTCATATGTGTACGATAAATGGGAATAGACTTGTAAGTTTTACGACATATATTGCAGTAGAGAGTACGTTCATCTATGATTGGGGGGAGATCTCGGTTGGGTGTGTATTGTGCTAGTAACGAGGTGGGTGGTCTAGTGGCGTGAGTATCCCTTTCTGCTAATAAATGTTATCTGACAGGAATGTCAAAATAAGTTTAGCTTGCGTGGGGGCGCTAGTACTTTGTAGTCATTGACACCGTGGCAAGGTTCCATGTGCATGTTCAAATGCTCCAAATTAATAAAGCACAGCCTACATTGGTTACATTTTAAATTTTCAAGGCTTTTCTCTAAAGTGAGTGTTTGAGGGGGATCAGAGTAGATTCGCACTTAATGTTGCTTTTTTAAGTTTACCTTCAACTGAACCGGACAGTAGATCTTTAGACTCTTGGTCTAACAGTTCTCTTTTTATAGTAACGCGTCGAGAACTTGTCACTTGGCGCAAAGGTATGAAGGCCTTGTCGTCTTGTTCTGTTTTAGTATCGATGTTATTTAAATCTGTAACGACAAAAGTTTGAGATTCTGTTCTAATTTGCTCTGGTTCTGGCCTTTTTGATCGAGTCTTAATTCGTCGTGGTGTTGACTTTATTTTCATTGTTCTTGACAGAAAGAGAGAAAAAAAAGACGTCGGTGTAACCCAAATTCATTTAATAATCAGTAACGTCTAGGCTAAAGACTTCAAAGCCTCCATATACACGGTATATAACTAACACCAAATCAAACATGCGTATTTGCTCATCTGAATGCTGTTGTAAGGTCAATGTGACTTATAAAAGAATGCATCATAATGAATTGATTTTCCATCCATTTAGTATACAAACGAAGTGCTTATTTCATGACTTTCTAAGAGCAATACGATTTTTATGATTTTTGTGCGATTATTTATTGCGTCGCCGATATCATTTTATTCCAAACATACACTGATAATTTATATGAAACAAAAACCCCTTAAACAACAAGACACTGAGATTAAAATATTAGCCAATAGAAAGTTAAGGATAATTCTGGCATGATTTTTCATTTTCATTAGGTATAAGTATAATTAAGAGTTTTTTTTCATTTTCATTAGGTATAAGTATAATTAAGAGTTTTTTTTTTCATTTTCATTAAAGAATAGGTTGAGCCCAGGGTAGCCACTCCCAGACCTGTTCCCCCCTATTACCGGCCCTCCAGGCTCGAGGTCTGGTACACTATGCTCACAAGCTGAAACTGGCCTTGTCCCAACTTGATCACACTGCCTTCATATGAAAATGCCGACAACGCTTCGCAGACGCACGATTGGTAACGCTAGCACTCCTCCCTTCAGGCGTGCAATAGAGTGAAGAGAAAAAAAAGGGACGAAGTCGAAAAAAATGGGCCTTATTTATACCTTTTTTCACAGTGCAAATTTTAGTTGCGCAGCAATCATGCAAATCTGACCTGAGTTTCAACATTAACAGTCCCGGGCTGTGTTTCTGGATAGTTCCAGACAAAAAAAGTCACAGACAGTGACTTTGGCTCGTTTCGCCTATGCGTACCCACTAGCCCTACTAAATTGCTTTTACCAACACTTACTCTTTGTTCATGTCACTATACCTTAGACAGCGTATAGTTTGACATGATTTACCATCGTTTAACAAAAGACCGCAGACTTCTAAAAGTTTTGGAAATGTGTCGTTTATGACAATTGTATGATTAGATATCAAGTGGACGATTAGGAAGCAAACCCATTTCTACTCCATTTACAAATCATGAATAAGAATCTCTTAACGCAAAGAGTTTGCGATGAGGAAGAATGTTTCTCTTCTGGATCAAGAAGCTATGCCCGATTTTTGTTTGGCAAATCTTAATAACATTTCCCCATTTACTATAAAGTAGATCCAGGAACCAAATATCTTTTTACACGCGGACAACGAAATACGCCTGTAATTGCTCCCAAAAGGCTTGTATTAAAGATTAAAATTACCGGAGGGAAAAGATAGATACTTAAACACAAATACACAAAGGGCTTAACAAACTTAGACATCTAAACGTATCCATGGCTAAAAAGATGTAGTGGTGACAATTGTGACTGAGTGTGTGGATTCGAGCATATATTTAGACAAATTTGTAGTCTGCTTAATATCAATTATGATGAAGATCGAGTTAAAGAAATTCAGGAAATATTTTCATCCAAATGATATACAAGAGGGAGATATAGAACTATTGTGTTGGAATTGAAAATAGAAATGGATAACCATCGACGATCACCTTTCTTTAGTACACACTACAGTATCCTAAGTGAGGTGGATGAGAAGTGGAGAATTTTATGGGACACAAAAAGTGTTTAATATTAAGTGCTCAAAGCGAAATAGCAGGTATTATGTGAAGTATGTCTGATTTAATTTCAAGATTTCAAAAAGCCGCATACACGAATTTGAGCACACATACTAGCCTAACCGAAAATCAATGTAATATCCGTTTAACTGTGGATTTAGCATAAGCAATGACTTTTGCCCATAAAAATGGCATTAACTTTAGCCTATGGAATGGTTTTTAACAAGGCAATCAAACGTAAGCGTAACTTATGAAATGAACACTTAACACTGAATATTTTAAAAAGTTCGTGTCCTTGGGTGCCCTCCACAGATATTTATAATATATGTGTTCGATGTTGTCTATTTAATCAATAAAGATACTTTACCAAACCCTCCAGGAACATGGATTTTCATTTTGGGCTACGTTAAAAAATATCAGTTGGTAAAGCGGAAGACTGCATGAATACGTCTTTTAAGTAACGAATTTAGTATTGCCTAAAACAAAACTGCACTAAAAGCTACAGTTTTATTGCATTTGCTGTCAATATTGTTGGTCTTAATTTGATGCATTCTAAAAGTACTTGAATGAAAAAAAAATGCAAACCCTTTTGTTTCAAAGGCAATGTAAGAAACAGGCCAATGGAAATTACGCAATTTATTTTGATGACATCAGTCGAGTAGGAGATTCGATTATTTTGGTGGAAAAAAATAACGCGTAAGCTTTAAGCGACCTAAAGGGCATTATATTCATTTTTTGCTCTCTCTATATATACATAAGAATATGAGTGGATTAAAGAAAGGAGAAGTTAATCTTGGTGTATGTTTTTTTTTAAAAAAAAAAGAGTGAGAAAGACACACACGAGAAAAGACTGACGCTCTATCCTGTAGACTTCCATTATGGCAGTTGCTTACAAGGATGGTGTCATCCTTGGTGCTGATTCACGTACAACCACCGGTGCTTATATTGCCAACAGAGTGACCGATAAATTAACTAAAGTTCACGATAGCATTTACTGTTGTCGATCAGGATCGGCTGCTGATACTCAAGCTGTTGCCGATATTGTTCATTACTACCTCCAAATGTATACGTAAGTATCACCGTGCCTCCCAATTTATACATACATGTGGTTTTGAGAACTTTTTAATTAAATATAAACTTGTAGTGTGAATGAAAATGAAGCACCTTCTGTTCGTACAGCTGCTTCCTTATTCCAAGAGATGTGTTATCAAAACAAGGATAATTTATCGGCAGGTATTATTGTTGCAGGTTGGGATAAGAAGGAAGGTCCCTCTGTCTACAATATTCCTCTTGGTGGATCTTTACATAGAGCTCCTTTTGCCATTGGTGGTATGTTACAAGATTGCAGATGTGTGGGAGGGAGAAGAGATAATTTATAAACTTTTTTTTTTTTTTTTTGACTAGGTTCTGGATCAACATACATTTACGGTTATTGTGATGCCAATTATAAAGACGATATGACCCGTGAAGAGTGCGAGGAATTCGTAAAGAATTGTAAGTGATTTTATGATCCATCATGCGCTCTTTTTTTTAATCATCTATCGAAATAGCTTTGGCATTAGCAATGTCCCGTGATGGTTCTTCAGGTGGTGTTATCCGTTTAGCTGTCATCACAAAGGACGGTGTTGAGAGATTGTTTGTTCCTGGAAACAGATTGCCTGGTAAGGAAATGATTATTTGTTTATGATTTTTGTTATTGTCCTTAAGTCTTTTTTTTTTAAAATTCTATAGTTCATTGGGAAGGATAACCATATTCCATATATAAAATAAATACATGTTAAAAAAAAGTTTTGTAAAGTAAACTGCATTTTTTGTCTCTATCATCATTCTTTGGACATTTTGTGACAGTGAAAAACTGCGCGTGTAAAAAAAAAAAAAAAAAAAAGAAAAAAAAAATCCCAACGACAACGCGAAAAGCAGACACTTTCTTTCTCTCTTTATCTAAATAAGAATGAAATATTTGTACTCACGTATGCTTGCTGGGGATTCCGAACCCGTCAAACCCAAGAAACGGACAAAGGCACCTAAACCACCTAAACCCGTCAAGATTGCCACGCCCAAAACTACAACCCCACCAGCAAGGGCTTTACCATCTGTACCCAAACCTTTACCAACTCCCGCCAATAGACCTGCCATTGCAAACCAGCAGACACATCCCGCTATTAAAAAACCAACCCCTTTAACTACACCTAAAACTGCTCATGATGTCGACCGATGGCGATCGGAACCTACAGGTTCCAACAGAGCCATTGTAGTCCCACCTCCCATTAATCTATTCAATACACCCGCCTCCGCCGCACAAAAAAAAGTGGACCCTACTAAATCAAAAGTAAAAACTGCCAAAAAAGCGAAATTAACCTCTACAACAGAGGATACAACAACAACAACAACAACAACAAAAACAAAAACAACAGCAACAACAACAGCAGCAGCAGCAGCAGGGACAACACAAGGACAGCAGACAGGTACAAAATCCAAGGTAATGAAAACCACTACTGCCAAAGCACCTTTGAAAAGCACCACAGTCAAATCCAAGGCTCCGTCAACCACAGGCGGGAGAAAGCGAACTATTGATACGGATGACGAAGATGAACCCGTACAACGCAAAGTTGTTAAATCACGACGTAAACATCAAATCTTACCCATTCTTAGTAAGTTTCGCCTTCTTCCCCCATTTCATTTTTTTTTTCAATAATGCAAAATACTAACTAGTATTAGGTGGTGCATACAAATTAGCGACGGTATTCAAGGGACATACAGACATCAATGTTCCGGTCAAAGATAGAAACGATCATGACATGGAAGATGCTAAAGACATCTGGTGCTGTGAATTCGAACCACGTCGAGAAGGCCAACTAGAGAATTCTAATACGGTAGCGCTCTGCGGCTCCTACAGTGTTCTCTTATTGGATACCCAACAAAAGCGATACACCAAAAAATACACCCATTCAGAAATCCAAGAGATATTTTATTGTATGGCTTGGACCACGCTAGCAGGTTCCGAATTATTAAACACGCATGTTGTTGTCGAAGGAGCTGTAGGAAATCAAGCCAGTTGTAATATTTTGGCTATTGCAGGTCGTTTAGGATCCATCAAATTATTAAACCCTTTGCAGAATGAATGCTATCGCTACTTGTTTGGCCATGATAAAGCTGTCCTCAAATTGGCTTTCGCAAAGTCTGAGCCGAGATGGTTGTTGAGTGCTTCAGCGGATAAAACTGTGCGTTTATGGGATATTGGCTCACCTATGAGCAAAACTGACGATTCTGTGTAAGTAGCCTTTTTAAAAAAAATGGAGAGAGAGATAAAAACTTAGACTCTATGCTATTAGATGCTTGGCGAGATTCAGCTTGCCTCCTAGAACAGGCGTTCCTTCTGCACTTAGTATATCTTACGATCTTTCAACCTTGGTGGTTGGATTCGATAATGGCGACATGGTAAGTTTTCAACTCACTGACGAATTATTACAACGCTTCCGAGAGAGATCTATGCAGTATCGCAGTAAAGAATCTCGCACCGGAGATAAATGGACTTCGTTTGGAGCATTGGCCACTGTCCAACCACAACATATTTACCCTAAAGGTGGCGAATGGCATGCCGGCTATGTGGATGATGTCTATATATTTGGACAAGATGGCGATACCACCAGCAAACTTTATAACCGAATCAGTAAGTTTTCGTTTATTTATTTTTTTAAAGAGGGGAAGGATACTAAATATGCATATAGTTTCGAGAGGTGCGGAAGATATGGAATTTATTGTTTGGAACCCTGAAAAGAGTACGGAGACAGATGCAGATATTCAACTGTCTTTGGCATGGCCTGATTCAAAGGAATGTACGGGTGTTCGATACAAAGTGATTGAGGCGGAAGGACAAAAGGTGTTGGTTGCGGGAGAGTATGATGGCCAAGTGTATATTTATGATGTGGGCAACAGCAAGAAGAGTAAAACTCTAGCGGACAACAGTGTTGAGAAATCCGAGCCAACACGGGTAAAAAAAAAATATTTTTTATATGGTGATATAAATGTATTTCGTAAGCTTATTAATCATGTATTCTGTAGATTTTATCTCATTCAAAGTCGTCTGAGCTTATCCGGGATGTATGTTGTTCCAATGATACACGTACTATTGTCGCTGTGGATAATAATAATACCGTATTTGTTTGGAATAATACAGAAAACTAAACAAATTACATTTTGAGAATATGTTTTTATTTTAAAAGAGGGTACACTTTGTACATAATGTTTGTGTGTAAGGGAGGAAAAAAAAGCTTTTTTTTTTTTTGGTAATGGTGGTGGTTTGTTTATACAAGTTTTTTAGTTACCGACCTTGGACTTCCAAGCGGAAGGGTTAGTACGGTTACAGATTAATTGAGCACGATCATAGGAGTTACGGTTCTTGTTGGCAGTAATTTGGAAACAAGTAGCACTTCCTTGACGAGAAGCAATGACGGACCAAGAAAGGAAGATTTCCCAAATACGGACCAATTTCTCACCGTATTTCTCCTTCATGGCATCCTTGTTCTTCATCCAGTTTTCATACCATCTGTCCAAAGTAGCGGAATAATGAACACCGACAGTATCGACATTATGAATTTCGAAACCGGCAGTCTCAAGTTGACGAAGATACCAGTACAAGGGTGTAGAGGCATCGGCACCAGGGAAAATATATCTAGCCATGAAAAGACCCCTAAATTAAGGTTATTTTTAGTACAACGCTCTTTTCTCTTATTTCATGTGAAGAAAAAAATTACCAGATGAAATCTTCGTATTGCCATGTAGCTCTTAAACCAGCAACTTGCATATAGAAAATACCATCATCTTCCAAAAGTTCACGAATTTCACGAAGGAAAGTTTGGAAACGACGAATACCAACATGTTCAGCCATCTCAACAGCCTATTTTCAAAGTCAGTACAAAGTATAAAAGAAAAAAGGTAAAAAAAAGCTTACAGTAATCTTATCATATTTTTCAGTCTTGGGAATATCACGGTAATCCATACAGAGAAGGTTAGCCTTACCCTTGACACCCCAGTCTTCGATACGCTTATCACCAAAGGCAACCTGGTTACGAGCAAGTGTGACACCAGTAGATTGACTTCCGTAGTTCTTGGAAGCATAAGCAACCAAGGTACCCCAACCACAACCGATATCCAAATGTCTATCACCTTCCTTCATGTGAAGCTTTTCACATACGAGTTTCATTTTGTTTTCTTGCATTTCTTCCAAAGTTTCACGCTTGGTAGGATCAGAGATGATACCAGAGGTGTAGACCATGAGGGGACCCAAAAAAGCCTCATAGAAATCGTTACCGCGGTCATAATGATCACGGACCTGGTTTTCATCTTGTTCACGGGAGTGCCAGAAAGTCTCGGGAAGCCATTGTGTTAAGAAGAACTTGAACTGACCGAAAGTCAATTGGAAGTTGGCCCAGTCATGACGGAGTTCCATGATTTCTAAGGGGTCACCGTTGAAATCAACCTTACCGACAAAATAAGCTTCGAAGAAGGTTTCCATGGGGATCTTGTTACGACCGTGGTAGGCAGCCTTGAGTTCGGCATCGTGGAAGGTCAAGTAGTGTTCGATGGGCTTACCGGGGAGAGGGACCGTGTTTCTGTAACGAGGAGCAAAGCGAGAGAATAAATAGATGGTACAGGCCAAGATAGGGAGACCCAAAAGAATGGCAAGGATGGGGAAAAACCATAAGCCAAAGCCTAAGGTGTACGTGAGGAAGGCGGGAACACCAATCACAGCAGCTGCTAAGATACGGTTATCAAAGGTTTGATTACCGGCTCCTTCAGCAGGAAGAGACGCGTTATTAATAGCCGCCCAAGTGGTCGGTTTAAAGGCTTTTGACATCTAGTAAAATAAAATAAAAAAGGTGATGAGTTTCGAAGTTTACTTCATTGCAAATTTCTAGAGTGTAAGCACTAACCTTTTACAAATGAAAAAAAACGGTCTTTAATAATAATAAGAAGAAAAAGAAAAAAAATAAAAATAAAAGAAAAAAATAGGAACTAAATAAAGAGGTGTAAATTTTTTTTGGTGTTACATGTCAACCCTCCCTTTCAAGTGGTCTGCGCTGTTTTGATTATCAAATCGCCGCTTTTTTTCAACGAAAGCCCCTCTGTCTTTTAATGCAAAAATAAAGGGATAGGCACGCGCCATCACACGTACTTTTTGTTGGTGTGCGAAAAAAAAACAATAACCCTAAACAGTATGTTCCCCTGTAACGTATCAAAGTTCCACAGGTGGCCGCAACCAAAAAAAAAAATACAAAATACAAAATAACATAGATTTATCTCTGATTAAATAGAACAAAGCATATATATATACATTTTTTCTTTCAAGCGCCCACACCGTTTGTTTATGTTGGATACAATAAAGAAGTGTGGATAGATGATACAATGAAAATATAATGCCGATTTTGTACGACGGCATCCTCTTGTGTATCGTGGCAAAAGAGGCTGCGTTATTATCGTGCCGTAATCGACACGGACACTACAAACACAACCCAGGCTTAATAGCGCATTTTTCAAAAAAAAAAAAAAAAAAAAAAAAAATATGACAGGAAGTAATGGCTTTTGTCAAAAACTAATTAAGCTAATAGGGCTTGGCAACTAAAAAACGTTTAAAACGCGGTTATCAAAAAAGATATATATATAAGCCCAATTTTTTTTTTTAAAAAAGGGTATGACAAAACCTTCCCTCCAATCTAATTTTTTCTTTTTATTATTATTATGTGCATCATTTTTATATGTATAAAAAAAAAGATTAAGCCTTGGGAGCGGCAAGACGAGCCTTACGGGCACCAAGAAGAACAAGAACCCAAACAGACCAATCGAATAAGACTTCCTTTGCAAGGAACAAGAAAGCAGCAGAAAGCACAGATTGGACAATCTTGGAGGAAATACCCTTGTAGAGACCGGTCACACCTTCAGCAGCAATGATCTTTTTGAAACCGTCCAAGATAGAGGTGTACTTTTCATCGCCTTGTTGGCTGACTTGCATACGAGACTTGATGACACTAATGTTATGATAGGGGGTTAGTTCTTAACAATATAAAAGATTCGTTTCAACATACATGTAAGGGTAGGTGATGGCAGTGGCACAGAGCTTGGAGAGGGCACCCATCAAGAAGAAATCAAGGTTACCAGGGGTCTTGGTCTTAGAGACCTTGTTCTTGAGTTGTTCAAAGACAGTGTATTGGATAATGGGGTTGATGACCAGCACCAAAGCAGCACGCACACCAGCGTAAAGACCAGCAATACCTTCAGTCTTAAGGATTTGAGCGGCGACAGTTAATGCAGTAGCCTCAGTCTTCTTTCCTTCCCCTTCAACACCCTTCTTGACGGTCAAACGAGTCTAGATGGGACATATTTAGTACAGGTACAACCCCTAACCAATAAAAAAAAGACTTACGTTCACGGTCCAGATGGGGTGAGTTGCCATGACAACGGCACAACCAGCAAGGGCACCGGAGAGCATGGACTCACCGGTAGACATGGGCTTACCTTGGCCCTTGGCCTTTTCAAAGATGGCCTTGACAGCTTCGTAACAGTAATAGTAGACACCTTATGGTTGTGTGTCAGTTTTTTGTTTTGTATTTCGAAGCTTAAATTATGCAATTAATACTTTACCATTGGTGATAGCAATACCAAAGATACCGGAACTCAAACCGCTATTTCAAAAAATAATTTTAAGTTTCCATATTTTCGACATTGTGACTACTAACTTACGAATACAATCCCTTGGGACCTTCTTTAGCCAAAATTTTAACAAAGGCGTCCAAAGTGTTCTAAAAAAAAATGATGCATTTTTAATACGATTTTTCTCAGCGCAAGAACGAAAGAGTTTTCGTCATACCTTGTAGGCATCTTTGCTGTCATCATTCTTTTGAACTTGGAGACGAGAACTGATGGAGACAAGAGGATAGGTTAAGGCCATAGAGACAATACCTCCACCGGCACCTTATTATGTAGAGTATGAGTTTTATTGTTTTTCAATCAGGATCATGTTAGTGTGTTTTTCTTTTTTTACCAGAAAGGGCATGAGCAACGTTATCAGACATGGTTTTTTATGTAGGTATAAAATAAAAAGAAAGTGAAAAAAAGAAGAAACAAAAAAGGAGAGAGGACTATTTTTAAAAGCAGTAAAAAAAAAAAATACACAAGAATTAAGATGTGTCATTCATAATCTGGGGAAAGAAATAAATGTGATAATTTACGGTAAAAAAAGAAGCATGTGAATTTTTTTGAGCCAATAGAAAAATAGTGTGGAGTAAAAAAGAGTACATCCTCTGTCAGCAAGAATCCCTCTGCTCTTTTTCATGGTACAAAATGTGTAAAAAGGTTTTTCATTCCGCTGTAACCCGATGTCTCTTAATATTTCGATTAGCGTATATATATAATTTTTATGAACAACAAAGATAAATTGTTATTCTGACTGACCCCCTCCCCCGGATACGATTACCCAAATCCAGGTACAATTTATCTACGCACATCATAGCGTTTGTTTAGAACAAAAATAATATCGGATCTCTAAATCTCCTTAATTTTATAATCTCCATGTGAAATCAAATCCATTGCATAAGCAAGAAAAGGTTTTTTTTTTCTTCACAAGTGACTGGCTGGGCTAGCTGACTGGATATTTTATATTTTTCTAAAAAAAACATTTTTTTCTTTCTCCTTTTTTCTTTGTTTCCATTCTCTTATATTAAAAATGTCTACTTCACAAGCATCCCCCGATAAGTATACCCAGGTTAGAGAGGATATCGCTAAAGCTTTTCCCAATGAGGAATACGATGATGGGTCTTTTGCTCCCGTTGTGTAAGTCACCCATAGCACACTTATACACAAAACCAGATATTTATTTGTTTATACAATGATAGCCTCCGTTTAGCATGGCACGCCAGTGGAACCTATGATGGTCAACATAAGAACGGTGGTAGTGATGGTGCTACTATGCGTCATCAAGCTGAAGCTTCTGACCCTGCCAATGCTGGTTTGGATCATGCCAGAAACTTCCTCGATCCTATCAAGGCCAAGCACACCTGGATCTCCCATGCCGATTTATGGACGTAAGTCATCCTATTCGTTATTTGTATGCTTTAATTAAAATTATATTTTGATTCTTGCAGCCTTGCTGGTTGTGTTGCCGTTGAGCATATGGGTGGCCCTCATATTGATTGGACCGGTGGACGTCGTGATAAGGCCAATGAAGTCGATTGTCCTCCTCAAGGTCGTCTTCCTGACGCTGCATTGGGTAAGGACCATGTGCTTGATGTGTTTGTTTCTCGTATGGGATTCTCCGTGCAAGAAACCGTTGCTTTGATTGGTGCACACACTGTTGGTCGTTGTCACGCCGATCGTTCTGGCTTTGACGGTCCCTGGACCTACAACCCTACCCGTTTCTCCAACCAATTGTAAGTGTATTTTGTATATATGATGACTAAAAACTAAGAGGAAAAAAAATTAGCTACAAGCTCTTGTTGAACGTGACATGGGTTGAAAAGAAGTGGGATGGACCCAAGCAATTTGTGGATGAAGATGAGGGAGAGATCATGATGTTGCCTACCGATATGGCACTTTTGGAAGAACCTTTCCGTCAATATGTCGAAATCTACGCCAAGGATCAACAAAAGTTCTTTGATGACTTTGCTTCTGCTTTCCTCACCTTGATCGAATTAGGTATGACCAAGAGAGGAAAGTTGTAAATTATTACCACCCCTACTACCATTTAGAACAATAAATTTTTCATTTTTGATTGTATAAACACAAACATATGCACTCTTGTGTTATCATGTGGAATTCCCAGGACCTTCAAAAGATAAGACATAATTGACATTGGACAAAATCCATATAAGGTTTAGCCTGTCCCAGAGCACAAATGCGCACTGTGAAACATCCCCCCCCCAAATAATGCTGCTGCTGCGGTTAAGTGGCATAAGTACCCATAGAAACCGTTTGTTTTTTTGCCTTGTCTTGTGATTTATACGGAAGGCTGATATCGCTCAATCTAATCCGCCATGTCTTGCTTTTTGTTGTTTCAAACTGCAAATCACATGTAAAGACCCATTTTAAAGTATGCGCCTTCAAAAAACACTCAGGTTAAGCAAATGGTTAGAAGGTATCATATCTAAATGACAAATTTTCTCGTTACCTTTCGAACAGAAATCAAAGTAATTCTTTTTTTTTAAAAATCTAATAATTGCAAAGGCTCGCATCAAGATAAACAATATGTTATCAACAAAATTTATTTATAAACATGGTTGGAAAAGTTATAGACTATAAGTAGAGTGATGAGTGTTGATAATATGAGATCAATTTTTTTTCTTAAATGTTGCAACAAGTACAATAATAAAAACGCCCATTCTTATGCCTATTTTCATTTTTTTAACCCTGAAAAGCAAACATGCAAAGGTCCTAGATGCTTGATCGACAGGTGAGCAGAGACAATATATATTTGGTTTGATGGCTTAGTTGTAGAAAGTAGCAGATCGGTAAAAGAAAGTGCTAGTCTAAAAACTCTTGTAGTATCACCATGTGTCATGTATACATACATATTTGAACATATTTTAGACTTCCCGTGTGCGTACAAGGCCGTTTGTTAAAACCGTGGTTGGCTAAGCACGCCAATACAAGTGATTATATCAATTATAATCATGCCAATGTTTCTCTCTGGATTAAAAATGATGTGGATATACAAAAGGCAGTTGCAAGTAGGAACACGAGTTAAGAAATGATTTGTAACGTAAAACTAAACTTTACTGCCTGATAATGTATTGCGTTTAAACATAAAAGCAATATGAATTCTCAGGTGTGTGCGCGTGTGAATAGTACAATAAAGAAAAAAGAACAAATAACATTATGAAGATAATATACGAGTAAAAATATATATGAGTAAAAATATATACGTTTTGGTAATATACGAAAATATCTGAGATTGCCTGAATGATTTAACTATTTTTTAAAAACTATCAAAATACATCATTGAGGGTTGAAGATATATCTAGCATTTAGATTTGTGATTTTTACGTATTCAGACACAATAAGTTTGAATGTTTTAAAGTACATATGGTAAAAGCCAATTTCCAACGTTTCTGTTTTTACTAGTTACATTGCCAAACATTTCAGGCAAAGCGTCATTGTAGGATAAACTTAAGCTATCTCGCAAAAAAGGCAAAAACTAGTGATAAAATTTTTGTATTAGTAAGAACCTTTGGGATTGGCTGAATAATAAGACTGGCGTGAGACCTGTTTAAGTCTGATATCATTTCGATTGGAATGATAACTTTTATGGGACCTGTAGGGACGTAATGTGACCTCGATCCAACCAATACGGATGAGCACAAAACTAAAAAATATCATTGTCCTTGCAAAACCCTCGATATTAACTTTAATCCACATCAGATCGATATAAAAAAGAATATATCTTTGGTAATTATTTGAAGGGTTTCAATATTTATCTTTTTGTACATTATAGCACCCTCACTTCGCTGAGGTAGAATTACTGACCATAGTATAAATTCGTTTGTGAAATCCGAAAAGGAACTGATTTGTAATCAACTGCGCACAAGTCACAAGGGAAAGAACCATCTTGTAAAAAATGAAATAACGGAAAAATCGGTTCCCACCAGAAATCACTATAAATGCACAAAAAAAAAGTAAAACAATTACTCGATATTTTTCTTCTCTTTTTTCATACAGACCATTATGTCTCAAGAAGCTCTTATTGTTGTTGACGTTCAAAACGATTATTTTCCTGGAGGAAAACTTGTAAATTCCAGACCAGTTGAGACTGCTGAAGCCTGTGCCCAACTCATTCATAAATTCCGACAAGAGGGGAAAGAAGTCGTCTTTATCCAGCATTTTATGAAGGACTATTTAGAAACAACCTACCCTTTTCTTCTAAAAAATACTCGTGGATCTGAAATACATACTAGTGTCCAACCTTTGGCCACTGAAAAGATTATAACAAAGAATGAAAGCAGTAGTTTTGTCGGCACTGATCTGAAGCAATACCTCGTTAGTAAAGGGATCAAGAGATTAGTGGTTGTCGGTATGATGATTCATAATTGTGTAAATGCTACAGTTTACTCTGGCGTCGAAGAAGGTTTTCCTTGTATAGTTGTTGAAGAAGCGGTGGATACAATGGATCAAGAATATAATGGCGAACTTGTAAAAGCTCAGGATATCAAGAAAGCTTTCTTGACAGGTATTCAGTTTGCATACAGTACTGTCTACAAACTCCAGGAAGTTCTAGCTGATGAGTATGCTTATCGTTCTATTTAAATAAATATCTCGATTTACACTATTGTTAATGTTTTGCAATGGGTCACCGTATAACAGCCATTTCTTCATAAAAAATCCCTTCATTTTATGCTAATAGCCGATAAAAAAAAAACGGGCACATCTGATTTTTTACTCAAAATGAACAGTCTTACCATCTAAAGAAGAGATCTGCTAGCAAATATATTGATCGACGTCAACTCCGTTCGTTCGGGAAAGCGTATTAAATTAGCGGGAAGCTTATGTAATCAACGTTACATCACTTTTTCAAATTCTGTCAAATACCGCGAAAAGCAAATTTTATTTTTTTTAGTCTTTTTCTCTCTTCTTCCCATTTCTACGCAGAAAAAATTACATTAAACAACAATGTCTGAACAAACTATTAAAATCGGTATTATTGGTACAGGTATTTTTGCTCATCGTCATAACAGAGCTTATCAAGCTGTTGGTGGTAAGAAGTTTGAGATTGTTGCGTGTGCAAACAGATCCAAGGATAAGGCTTTAGCTTTTGCTAAAGAGGTAAGTGACGAAAAAAAGTTTAAACGATGAAAAAATTGTGTGTATTTAAACCTGCTTACGCAGGTCGGTATTCCTGAATCTGCTGTTTATACCAGCCCCCTCGACCTTATCAACGATCCCAACGTTGATGCCGTTGATATTCTTCTTCCTGTCCAATTCAATTTAGAGGTATGTGAAAGAAAGAAAGAAAAAACGTCATTGACACGTCTAGTCGATACTAAAAAATGCTTCTAGATTATCCAAGCAGCTGTGGCAGCAAACAAACACGTCATGTTCGAGAAGCCTATTGGTTAGTTTCAAGATGTATTTTTAAATTGACCTTCCGTCCCGACCCTTATTTTTTTTTTATTTAGCCGCCAATCTTAAAGATGCTCGTGAAATTGTTAAGGTCGCTCAAAAAGCAAAGACGGTTGTTGCTGTCAATGAAAATTGGGCATATCACCCTTTAGCTTATGCAGTAGCTGAATATGTTAAAAACGGCGGTATCGGGGAACTTGTCAACTTCACCTATGATTCATCTCGTCCCTACAGTCCCAATTCCCCATACCATAACACGAAGTGGCGTCAAAACCCTGAACATCCTGGTGGTTATCTTAGTGATGGATGTGTTCATGATATGGCTCACTTGATTCCCATTCTCGGAAATATTGAAAAGGTTGGTGCTTTTGCTACCAAGAGACACACAATCCATGTCTGTGAGGATACATTGGCAACTACAGTCAAGCTTGCAAATGGAGCCGTTGGTACTGCTAACTTCACTTTTGTAAGTAAAAAAAATCACACATTGTTTTCATCGTACTGAAAAATAATCCAAACGATGATAGTGTTCAGCAGGTGTGAAAAAGATGGATTTGGTTGTACATGGTACAGAGGGATCAATTCATCTGGTTGATGATACTAGTGTGGAATTATTTAATGATGTTGGTGAATCAATCGATGCTGGACCCATCATTGCTCTTCAAGCAAATGCACCTGGTAATGGATTGGCTGATGTAGAGGGTGAATTGGCTGCGTTTTATGATGCTGTTCGTCACGGAAAGGCATTGGGTGTCTCTAACGAAGAAGCTTTTCATCATCTTGCTTTTATTGTTGCCTCTTTAGAATCCGTTAAAACTGAACAAATGGTCAAGGTGGAGCAAGCTTAGATAATTATCATCTATATTGTAGCTGTTTGTCTTAACACTGTCAACAGTTCTTTTTTTTGAATTTCTTTCACGCAGCCAAGCGAAGAGTTGGTAGCAACAGCTAACATGCATAAATATAATAAACAGTTAATAATTGGCAGGAATCTTTATAATTGTTATGACCTTTTTGATGGAAAATTTTCATTGGGTGATAAAAAGCGGGCAAGTTATATGCACATCTTAGTTTTTTTTTTTCTAGTCGTAAGAAGAAAACATTAAATTTAATGTGTGTGTGTTGGGTCCAGGGTATATAGTTTTCCACCAAGAAGGCATGTCTGGATGGAAGTCTCAAAACTTCTCGAAGGTTTCAGCCGGATCTTAAAAGGCTTATATGGTAAAGGCTTTCCGCAGAGGCATTCAGTTACGTCGATGTTTGCAAAAACAATACTGAGTTCAGTCAACCTTATCAGAGGAGTTTAATTATGATATTAATTCTAAAAACACGGATTGTTACAATTCATTGATTAAACTTTTTGATAGTTCTTCCTGTTTTGCATGTAAAAAATCCAATGAGAAGAAAGACAAGTGATACTATTAATCAGGGTACACCGCTTTCTTGAAATGATGTTACACAGGATAGGATGTTTCTTATTGACACCACACTTTTTCCTCTAATAAATTCTTCTGTAGTTTTATCTTGACTAAAAATCTAGTTTCTAATGATTTGAAATTGACTCCTCTGTGTTTCCCTCAACTTTCATATATCCTGTTTATATTAAGTCCATACTTTTTATTTACCAATTAACCAAATTCAAATTTCCACACTCGACTAGTGTTTGAACTTTTCGAGCTTGCAACAATCTGGCGACAGTTCGAACGAAGCTCGAACCAAGTTTTGTACTCAAGCACGCACCATTTTTTTTTTGGAATTAAGAGAGATTCGAGCGAGCATCGGTCGGATCTCTCTCGGTTATAAAATGGGAAGTAATTGTCGTATTTGACGCCAAAAACCGAATACAACTATTATTTAATCTGTCATGAGTTATAATTCACTTCATATATTATAACAGACACAGTACTAGTTCCGGTAATTTTCCTCCTGAAAATTATACCCTACATTGGACCCCGGTTGGTTGATTTACTGCAGTTCCTTCTGGCACCTACGAAGAGTAATCAAGTAATCCAATTATTGCACATATTGC